TGGGTGGGTCACCCGGCCACATGGCCGGCGGTTGGGACATGTCGTGTGTGGTGGTGTAGAGTGCTTTTTTGCATCCCCCCTGGCTCCCCCGTCTCTCTCGTGTGAGTTGTTCTTGTCATGTGCTCGTATGTGTTTGTGTGTAGTGTGGATATGGGGAATTTTCATGTGCGGCTGGTGCTGCGTGTCGAAGGACAGCGTGTGGCTACTGCTGTGGTTTGTTAGGTATGAGGATATGACTGATCGACCTTAGCCAGCCAGCCAGCCAACCAGCCAGCGGCGGATTAGAGTAGAGCGGCGTGAATGACTGGCGGTCGCCACGATATTAAAACGAAGGCAGACAGACAGACACGAACACGAGAATCCACCATCCATCCATCCATCCATGTCTGTGTGTCTGTCTGTCTGTCAGTCCACACACACCAACACGCCACCGTCAGTGGTATCATGGAGTACTCACTGTCGTCCTAGCTATGCTGCTGTACTCACGCACTCACTCAAGAATCTGCACGCACGTACGAACTGGACAATTAACTGGTGACCCACACACACACGCACAGAGAGAGAGAGAGAGAGTGGATAATCAGCCACAGAGGCAGGCAGGCAGTCAGGCGGCTTCTCTCTTGGTTTCTACAGTGGACATGGACACAGTGGAGAGGAGATGGGGAGCGGCTGGAAACGAATACACGTGATGCCAACGCTGGTTGGTTTCTCCCTCTCTCTGTCTCTCTCTCCGCCAGCCGCTAGGCGCTAGCTACCTCCCTACCCACGCACACATCACAGCACATCAAATCAAATCACATCGGTGCCATCCCACGCAACAGCGCTCTCTTCAAGGTGGATGGAATCACAATCACAGACAGACAGGCTGGACAGAGCACACCTGGCCACACCATCCTCCATCCTCCTCCACCCCTTTCTGCCGCCCCATCCGGCCCACCTGGTGCAGAGGTGCGCGTGTTTCCGTGACTCTGGTGTCTGGTCAGTCGCGTCGGTCTCTGTCGTCGTCTCGGTGTCCGTTCTCGTGTCCTGCGTTGGCCGCGTCTCTATCCACGCCATTGATGTGCTTATCCTTCTCATCATCCTGCTCACCGGGCCGACGATCACTGGGCCGCTATAACAGGCACACGAGACGACACAAGGACCACAACACCCAGTCAGTAAGCAATGCATCGCATCAAGGCCATCCCATCGATGAGCACTCTGTGTGTGTGTGTGTGACTGAGTGACTGACCTCATCCCTGTCATCGTGTCTTGGTCGCTTGTAGGAGTCATCTCCTCCCCCTCCCCCTCCTCCCCCGCCCCTGCGGTCGTCGCGTCTCGAGTCCCTGTAGTCGTCACGCCCGCCGTACCGGTCCCTGTCCCTGTAGTCCCTGTCCCTACTGCACCACCCCACCCGACACACACACACCAACAACACAACACAACACACACCTATGAGCCCCCCATGCTGTTGTCGGTTTTGCCCCTCCGTGTCACGCTCACTCGTGGTAGTCCCGGTCCCTCCCGTATCCCCCGCGGTCGTATCCGCCGCCCCGGTCGTAGTAGCCCCCACCACCACGGTCGTATCCACGATCATACCCACCACGGTCGTAGCGGTCGTATCGGTCGTCACGGGGGTCACGACGGTCGTACTCCTGATTGATAACCAGGCGACACACCGAAGACAGGGAGAGAAGATGTGTGTGGGGGGGTGGGGTTTGGGTGGCCTCATACGTATCGGTCTCGGTCGCGCGGGGGGCCGCGTCGCTCCTCGTCTTCGCGCATGCGCCTGCACACCACACACACACACACACACACAGGGAGGGAGGGAGGGAGGAAGGCACAGGTGAGTGTGTTTTACGGACATCAAGTCAAGTGTGCACAGAGGCACTCACACGCACACACATGGATTGCTCTGCTCGTCTCTGCTGCGTGTGTGGACGGATGGCTGCATGGCTATGGGTGGGCAGATGGAGGTGGAGGACGTCTCTCTGCCGGCTGCCAGCCCGACTGCACTGCACTGCGTCCTCCTTATCAGCCAGCCAGCCGGCCACTGCCTGTCTGCGCTGCGCTGCACTGCTCTGCACTCTGCCACCCGGCCACTCTGCCAGTCTGCCGATCCGATCTGCCAGTCAGTCAGTCACTGTGCTGCTTGTCTGCCTCTCTGCTTGTCTGGGTGTCTGCGTGTGTCTGCGTCGAGCCGGCAAAGCCTGTCGTGCGCAAGACGCCTACGTACGCCCCGGTGTTGAGTGCACACGTAAGTGTGTGTGGAGGGGTGTGGTATCGTATGTCGTGCCTACTTGCGTCCCTCGTCTCGCCCATACTTGGCCTCACCCACAGTGATCTTCCGACCTGCACACACCACAGCACAGCACAGCACAGCAGCGGGCGACATAGACCCACTCAGCCACTCAGCCAGCCACATGTGCGTGCGCACCTTCGAGCTCCATGCCGTCGGTGCCGGCTATGGCCTCGTCAGCGGCCTTCTTGTCACGGAACCTCACGAACCCATAGCCCCGCGGCCGGTTGTTGCGCGGGTGAATCGGGATGTACACGTCAGCCACCTCACCAAACCTGCTCAGACAGACAGAGGCACGCACACCACACCGGCAGACGGCACACGGCAGCCAAGGCGCATGCCATTGAAGGATGGATGCACGAAACCTCCTCCCTCCCTCCCACTTTACTCCGTGGGACTGTGTGGTGTGGTGTGGTGTGGTGTCGGTTGCTGACTTTTTGAAGACATCCCTGAGGGAGTCGGGCTCTACACGGTCGTCGAGGTTGTCCACCTTGAGGCTGACCAACGTGTTGACGTCTTCGGGGGGGCGGCCACCGGTCACCGACATGCTGTTGAACCAACGCCGCTGCCGCCCTACAATCTCAACTCCACTTCAAAAGTTCGCAGAAAACGATCGGGGAAGGGTTTGTAGGGTGTAGGGTTTTCAGGACCCACGCACGGTAACCTCAGGCATCCCCCCCCGTATGTGATGTGCTTTGTACAGCCCGGCTGTCCTCTACACAAACAACAGAAAGTGGCCCGATCCCCATACCCACACACCCACACACCCATACATGCAAACACATGTAGCCCAGCCGGTTGGTTGAGACACCCATGCAGCCCAGCCTACTAGATGCCCTGCCACACCCCATCGCGCACACTGCTCATCATTACACTCACTCATAGGCAGAAGGAAGATTGGAAGGAAGGATGAATATAGGATGGATGGATGCGGACCAATCGATGGCGGGCAGACAGACAGACGGGCCAAAACGGACGGCAAAAGGTGTCTGTCGTGCCATGGCATGCACCCACCCCACCCGGGGGTGATGAAAAAGTCCACACACCCTGACCGGCAGGCAGAAGCTACTATACAGTGTGGTGTGGTGTGGTGTGGTGACGTTGACTCGACTGCTAGCTGACATACACACATACACACTCCCTGGACGCAAAAAGAGTCCACTCCACCGTGGCATGCTTGTATCTGGGGGGCTACAAAACAGCCCTTTCCTCTCCGTGGATCTATCTAGTCTTCCATGTGGCCCTCATGGTGGGGGCTGAGTGGTCTCGACGGCGGCGGCGATGCCCGCATCCAGTTCCACCGGGCGTACAGCTCCTCCTCTATCGACCTGGGGACACACACGACACGACAGACACCAGACACCAGACCCACCACACGAACGAACAATTCCGTCCACCCAGCTGCCCCTCTCGGTTGGTATTGTGTCTTCTGATGCACCGCACCGACCGTTGTGCGTAGAGGCGGTAGACGTGTGTCTCCTTCTCCTGCGGATACCGATGCACACGACCTGCCGGGACACATGTCCACACGGAACCACACGTCCACAAAAGGCGGTGCGGTGATCACTCTCTCTCCCACTCATCACTGACTCCCTCCCTCCCTCCCTCACCGATGGCCTGTCTTTCAAAGTCGAGCGCCCGCTCCAGCGGGACGCAGTCGACGGCACACGCCTCGGACCCGCAGTAGGGGTGCACGATGAAGATGTGGTTCGCTATGTGCAGCGACGCACCTACGCCACAAAGACACACAGAGGGAGGGAGAGAGAGAGAGAGAGAGAGACATGTACAGCACACACGCTTGACAGCCACCACAGCACGGGCCTCCCTCACCCACCTGAAGCGTGCTGCTCCGACGATAGCAGTAAGATTCGGTGGCGGAACGAGCTGCTGGTGCTGCTGCTGCTCGATGCCGCAGCAGCGGCAGCACCACACGCAAAGGAAGAGGAGGATGCTGGCGGGGACTGCGCGTGGGTGAGTGTGGGCGACGGGAGGGGCCGGAATACGGGCGATGGTGTGCCTGATGCGGTTCTGCTGCTGCTGGGGTGGGTGGGGTGGTGCTGATGCTGGTGTGGGTGTGGGTGTCGCAGGCAGAACCGGTCCAGGACGGTGATGCGCTCGCGGATCGACATGCCCTCGCCCAGCATCAGCACCGACTCATTGCCACACGCAAGAGTCAGGGCCGCTCTTATCGACTCGAGCAAGCTCTGCCACTGAACATCACAGAGAGAGAGAGAGAGAGAGAGACAGGAAATGCCCTTCCTCCACACGGCCATCTTTCAAGAGCCCTTTTCTCCGCTGACCTGAGCGAATACGATGCACTTGTCATCCGTCTGTTCGAGCAGCTGCCGTATGGTCAGACACAGGTAGCCGATCTTGGTGCTGCACTCGCCCAGCGATGACGGCGCACTGCCCTGTCCATGTCCCTGGCCATGTCCATGGGAGTGCCGGCCGCTGGGTGTGTGTCCTGGCTTGGGCCCCACTGTGAAGGTGCAGGCCATCCGCACTGCAGACACGCTCCGGCACATCGGGCAACGAATCTTGGCCTGCACAGAGAGATAAAGGGGGAGAGAGAGAGAGAGAGAGAGCGATGGTTGTGGTGGTGGTGCTTCTTGTGCCATGTGTGCCATGTGTGCCATGTGCTATGTGTGTCGTGTGTTGGTTACCTGTTCGTCGACCAGTCTTGCGGAGCAGTGTCTGCACACCCAATGCAAGCAGGGCAGCACCGTCACGGCGCCCTTCTGAGCCACGCCCTCGAAACAGATGCAACACGCTGCACAAGACGTCAAGACGTCACACAACCATCAGTGGATCGATCAATCAGCATGCGATTGCTCCCATGCTCATTAACATACCTGCGGCCTTGACGTCGCTCTCAGTCACGCCACACGGAGAACCAGCAACACTAGAGGCGACGACAGCCTCTCCGGCACCAGATGGCGCCGCAGCAGAGGCAGCAGCAGCCACGCGCGGCGACGACCCCCCTCGCCAGCCGCCCCGAGTGCGCCCCTTGTCCCTCCTCGGCGAGCTCCTCCCACCATCCTCATCCCTGTCTCTATTTCTCTCAGACGCCAAGATCCCCTCTGGATGGGCCTCTGGCAGCGGCATCAATGGCAGGTCCATGTCATCCGATGGGGAGGGGGCGGGGGCTGGGTGCTGGGAGGGGGGCGTCGAGTCGGATGTGCGCGACTGACTGCTCTTGTGCGAGTGCCGCTTGCTGTGCCTGGGGGTGTGGGTGTGGGTGTGGTGTGTGAGGGGAGAGGGGGGTGATGGCTGTGGGTGTGGGTGTGGGTGTGGGGGCCGGTGGGATGCGTCGCCCTCCAGCGTCAGCATCACGTGGTCCTGATTAAGATCAATGGCGGCAGAAATGGCGTGTGTGGTTGTGTGTGTGTGATGTGTTTGTTCCGTGCCCCCCCGACTGACACTGACCATGAATATAAGGAATCTGTCCTTCTCCCTGAGGGATCTGAGCAGCTGGTCCCGCCTGAAGATGATGTGTCTGTCGTCCTCCTCCACCCACTCAGGCAGGTCGGGGTCGTCGTCAGTGTCGCCCTCAGGATAACCAATGTCCCCATCCTACACACACACACGCACACACACACAAACGAACAACAAAATGGCCGCGCATCCCCACAGAACACATGAGGTGGACGTTCTCACCTCGACAAGATTGGACAGATTCTCCGACGCTTCGATGGTCTTCTCGATCTCACTCAGCTCGCGACGCAATGCCTGACCGACACACACCAGGACACCCAAACAGCAATGGCCGTATAGGGGCACCAATCGTCCGCCAACTCATTCACTCACTCACCGCAATGGCTCTCAGTGTGGCGGTCTTGCGCGACGTGTACCAGTCCGACGCCGAGCCGAACTTCCTGGCAGCCTTCTTGAGGATGGAGCTCTCCTCCTCAGGGGGCGTCTGGTGCAGACTCATCGGACCCTCGGAACACACACGCACCTGCACACACCCCCACACAGGAGGGAAACGTGCGTCATTGGTGTGGTTGTGGTTGGACTGACCATTGTCTGCAGTGTCTGTGTGGTCATGGCGTGGTAGAGGACGGAGGAGGTCTCCTCCAGCGTGAGGGTCACCGGCAGCATGTGGAAGTGGATCGGGGGAGGCACCAGGCACTCAGACAGCGGATTCCGCACACAACATCTGAATGACCCGCATAACCACATGCACACCATACAGCACCTCTCTCTCTCTCTCTCTGTGTGTGTGTGTGTGTGTGTGCGTGTGTCTGGAGGTGTGGCGTACGGACTTTCTGATGAAGTCGGCCCGGATGGCCGCAGCGAATGCGGGCGTGATGCGGAAGCCGATGGCCAGCATGAGCAGCGGGTCGAGACAGATCATCGGCGTCGCCGTCAGAATCCACCTTAACGCACACAGACACACACAGACAGACAGACAGACAGAGGGGAATATATTGTGCACAGGAATGCATGGCATGGCACTGGTGCGAGGGCTTTCTTTGTTTCTTGTGACCTTGAGAAGGGCTGGTCCTGCTGCTGGGGGTCGCAGAACGTCAGCAGCAGGCTGAACAGCATACCACTGGACTTAGACGACGGATCTGCACTCAGACAGGAAGGACCACACCACACAGAACACATTCTTCCCACATCCCCGTCCCCTCCCCTCCCCTCCCCTCCATCGCCCCTCGTTCGCTGTCTGCCTGACCAAGAATATCCTGCGGCTCGTCGATGACGACCCTCTCCAGCGCCCTGTCCCTAATCATCTTGTACCCCTCCCTCTTGAAGAACCGCCGCAGCATCCCGTAAGGCACCACTATCACGTCCGCACCATCCACCTCGTTGCTGAACCACACCGCAGACGACGACGAGCTCCGGTCCAGCGACACTCGGCCGTGCCTGTCAAGCTTGGGCAGACACGAGCGGGGCGACGAGGCGTCATGTGGGTGTGGATGAGGGTGGAATGGTGGCGAGTGGGGCAGTGGTGTTCGTGTGGGTGTGGGTGTTGCTGTGTGTGGCAGGTGTGGGTGTGGATTGTCGCTCTCGAAGAGCTGCAGGAGATCGAAGTTCTCCAAGTCCTCCTCGTCGAACATGTCGTCCTCCAACTCGTGATCCGCATGACCGTCCTCTAATGGACACACACACAAGAAACCACCGCATGCCATGCACTGCCGTCAATGGAATGGATTCATCTAGCCACGATGCCTGACAGACTGACCAGGTCGGTATCCGTCGCTATGGTACATGACCACCCGCAGGCCCCCACCACACGGCTTGGCCTCCTCAGCAGGACCGTAGGGGTCGAGCAATGGCAGCGGGGAGAGGCTGGGGTCGCGCGGAGAGGGAGGGGCGCCCTCGGCAGGGCCGGAGGGGTGGTCTTCCGACGGACATGACGAGGGATGGATCACACGCAGCAGCTCGCGCATCCACTGCCCAGCCTGACACGGAAGACAGACAATGACGACAAATGCCATGAATGCGTGACGTCAGTCAGCTTTTGGGCCCCGACCCATTGCACGATCCCACCACCCCCCCCCTCCCCAGCCCACCAGATGGTCCGGCACGAACACGAGCGTCTTCTTGCCCTCCCGCGAGTTGTTGGCTATCACGCTTGCGGCAATGACGGTCTTGCCCGCCCCCACAGGGTGGCATATCATGCCGCCCCGCGGCCGACAGATCTCCGCCCGACGACCGTTCCGATTGTTGGACAGCCACGGCTTCTGCGAGTTGTGCTTGAGCGGCACCTCCTCTGTGTGGAATGAGAAGCAGTGGCCGTACTCGTCCGGCAGCCGCCTCTCGAGCTTGCCGAGCTGGCCTGGGTCGGCCCGCTCGGTGGCAATCATCCAGTCCACTGTGGCCTGCTGATGGGGAAAGAGCGAGATGTCCTCTGATGCTGCTGCTGGGGCGGAGTGGGGCGGGGGCGAGGGCGAGGGGTCTAATAGGGGGAGGGGGAGGGACGGCCACTCGCCCACACACGGGGCTGATACGAGACGCACACACGGAGAGCAAAGTGGTGCATCATTCACTCTGTGTGTGTGTGTGTGTGTGTGTGTTTGTGACCGAGTATGCACTGCTTGAGCAGAGCGATGGTGTCGTAGTCTGTCTTGTCCTCAGGCATCGTGCACGTCAGCTCACGCAGCTTGTGGAAATGCGTCACCACTACAATGCGGGCGTACTCGTCAGCAAACACAGGCAGAATGAACACGCGAAAGAAACCACGAGCTGCACACACACACACACACACACACATCCACACACACTCGTCTCTCTCTCATTCCCACCACACACACGTGTGTTCCCCACCCCACTGACTGCCTGACTGACCGAATGATGCGAAGTGGAGGTATCTGCGTATGAGCGGGTCGAAGTGGTATCTCATGGCCACCCACCAGTCGTTGGACAGCTCGATGAAGGCCGTGTCTGCCGCCGTGGTGGCCCACGCCTCGCACTGGGGCACCGCCATGAACCCATCCTCGTCACGCACCCACGTCAGCGATGGCACGTCACACTGACCGATCATCACATCACATCACATCACATCACATCACATCACATCAAACAGACAGGCCAGAAAGGATGCAAGAGGCAGGCAGGCAGGCAAGAAGCAGTATGGGCTGTGCTGGGCTGTTGGTTGCTTTGCTTGTGAGCGCCCACCTCTATGGGATAGGCCAGGAACAGATCATCCCCCTCTTCAGAGCTGACCGTCTTCACAAGGCAAAGCAAACACAGAGAGAGAGAGAGAGAGCAGAGGGTGTCTGCCTGGACAGAGAGCCCATGTTATCACTCACCTCAGTCAGCTTCACTTCGACACTGCCGTCCAAACGAGTCAGTTCTGCATCGACAAATGGAACACACGCAGCACACTCCACAGAGAATAGATCCCTGATACGGCCTTTCGTCCACCCGCTTGCTTTCGTCGCTTCTATCGTGTGTTTCTCACCCTGCTCAAACACCCGAAAGTCGCCGCAGACGTATTCTCGCGATGTACACATTGTAAACCACACCTATGCGCCTGGAGAAGGAGGCCGGCCATACCACTTTTGCGAGCTTTCTAGCTCCCAGAGAGATGGAAATGGAAGGAGGGACATCGTATGCTTATCGATCACTGCGGCCTTTACTGGTGTTTCTACTCCTGTCGGACCAAGTAGGGATGTGCGTCGGCAGGACATCTCGGCGCATCTGATTTGCATCTGATCATCGCCATCGTCGCACAGCATAGCGGAGCATGAGTTCGTCGGCTCCCGAGGGCGAGGGACCCAACGAGGACACCTCATCCCCCGTGGTCATCGCTCTCCGACCAGCATCGCCACCAGCCCAGCTCCCCGACTCCTTCTCTCCATGGCCAGCCGTCCCTCCCTTCCCCGAGCCAGCGTCGCCATCCGACAACCGCGCCGTGCGTGTGCCCGTCTTGCGCCAGCCGGACATGCGAGTCGCCACTGGCACCGTTCCACCGCCGGCCGAAGCCGGGCCGTCCGGCCACCATGTCGGTGGGGAGGCACCAGCACGTGAGAGGCGTCGCATCCAGAATGTGCCCTTGCGTGAGAGCCCTCGGCCATCGGCCCGGCTGGATCGGCCGCCGACACCGCGGCCGAGACCGACACCTCCGCCCGCACGACGGACCGACCTGAATAATGGTGGAGAGGTGCGTCTGCGGATCAGCGAGAGCGCTGCCCCACCACCTTCGTCATCGCATCATGCCGAGAGCCCTCTCTCGGCCCATGTTTCGTTGATGGTGGAGGCCGACCCGCCAGCGGCGAGCACCAGCGCCAACGGAGCTGCGGCTGCTGCGAGTGCGGCGACAGAGGGGCACCACCAGCCGGAAGGGGCCCCGTCGACGGCCAACCAGCCTGCCACTGGGGGACGGAACTGGGGAGCAGAGCGGATCTTTTCGGAGATGATGAACTTCTTCCAACGACCCGACCATCAGCAACACGGGCCGCGCTGGGGGGAGACCGCCGCCCACCAGATGATGGACCAGGCTGCTGCAGACGCTGGGAGGATCACCTCGGAGGACCTGCCCAGGCCGTCGCCCTCCCCCGTCCCGCCGTCACCCCCTGAGTCCATCGGCAGCGAGGCCGGAGACAGTGCGCCTCCCCAAGTCGACATCGACACACTTCCTCTTGCGGATCGTGCACTGGCAGAGATGCGCGAACCGCAATTTCAATACCGTCCGTCTGATTTCCTGATGGACGCGCCCCCAAGCCCGCCTCCAGAGCGGCGGGGGCGGGGGGCTCACTTCATGGATGTCCTGCGGCGACGGCCTCCCCCGGATGACCGTGACGACGATAGCATGGACGACGTGCCTCGGTTTGGCGGGCGGCCAAGGGCGTGGGAGGGGCGGGAGAGAGATCGGGGGGCATCGATATGGGAGCAGGGGCGGCTTGAGGCGCGGCAGAGATGGCGGGCGCGCAATATGGCCACTGGGGCGGGTGCACGGGTGGTGGCTGCCGAGGAGCCCACCTCGCTGAGGCACCGCCCGGACATTGACATGAGGCCGCGGCTCTTCATGCGACCTGATATGCCTCTCACTTTTGCGTAAGCGACAGTGGACAAGCAGACAGACAGACAGACAGAGAGAGAGGACACAATGACTGAGTACAAACACGTGTTTCGCTATGCCTGCTGTGTCCCTGCTGTGTCCAGTGAGATCCGCAAGGCCACATCGGTAGTGGTGAATGGCGCCACCTTGGCCGAGGACGCCGTGCACGACTTCTGGACGAAACACCCTGACCGCTTTGCAGACTTCCCTGCGCCAGCCAAGCCGTCCTCACAGTCATCAGCTGGTGGGGGGGGCGATAAGGACAAGGACAAGGGTGGGGGCGAGAGCAGTGAGACTGCACCGGCGGCCGCATCTGCCAGTGGTGCTGGTGGTGGTGCTAGTGGTGGTGGTGGTGGTGCGGCTGCCGCTGCTGTGTCAGAGGGCGCTGGTGGGGAGGATAAGAAGGGGACGGGCCAGGAGGATGGCAACGACAAACAGGTGAGTGAGGGATGACTGAGAGGGAGAACATGTGTGGTGTGTATTTGGTTGTGGTTTGGTTGTCGTGTCGTGTCGTGTTGTGTTGGCTGGCGGGGCTGGCTTGGCAGGTGTGTGCGATATGCCACGAGGAGATGCATGTACTGGCACAGCTCAGACGAGTGGATGAATGCGGACACAAATACCACAGTAGGCACCAAGCCGCTCGCGCAGTAGAGCCACGCACTCGTGTGACAGCACTCGATGCGATGTACCTGTCTGGCTGTCTGTCTGTCTGTTGTCAGTGTGGTGCCTGGATGAGTGGCTCGAGAAGCACGCCAGCTGCCCACTCTGCCGTCTCAACCTACACCAAGCTGCGGTACGCACACACCTCCCTCTGCAACCAAACCATTCTCACACCCACAGCATCTCTTGTGCTGTGTTGCGTTGTGTTGTGTTGTGTCGTGTGAATCTCTCCGTCCATCCATCCCATCCGGTGTGTCAGGCGCGGCATCCGTCGGCCGCTGCGTCCCGAGGCGGTGGTGATGTGATGGGGGGGCCGGGGGAGTATCGCCCCTTCTTTCTGCCCTCCCGTCGTCGCCGCCGGGACTTCGACGACTGGCCGACGCCTCTCGACTACCCACCGCCGATGACCCGTGCACCCCCGCCCCCGCCATCCGGCCCATCCAGCCGACATGATGACGTCCCCAGCGAACTGCTCGGCCCACTCGCACAGCTGGCGAACGGTGAGTTGGCTCACCCACTCACTAACGTCAGTCAATCAGTCAGCCGTCCATACGCTCCACCCACTGTGTGTGTGTGTGTGTGTGCCGGTTGCTGTCCATCAGTGACTGATGATCCAGATCCTGACAACGACCCTGACGACCCCTCGGCCAGTCCTGAGGAGCGTGCAGAACGTGCGAGGCGGCAGCGGATGGCGGAGCGACGGGCCTACGCACAGCGGCACATGGAGGAGCTGCAGGCCATCGCTGAGTACGGCCGTGAGCGCATCCGCATCGCCAGCGCCGCCTTCGACAGAGAGAGGGACCGGATAAGGGAGGAGCGACAGGCGCGACGTGAGGATGCCTTTCTCGATAGCCTCCGACAGGAGGAGGCCGCGGGCCGCCGACAGGACAGGGAGGCGGCTCGCGAGCGTCGTCGCGTCCACAACCAGCCAGTGGCGCCTTCCGGAGAACAACGGGGAGGAGGCGGCAGCGGCAACCAGGTGGCAAACTCCCCTCCCGACCGAGAGCCGCGCCGCGCCCCCACCCCGACGCCCACCCCCAACCCCGAAATGGGTGACGAGTGGGGATCCCCGGCGCCGAGCCGCTATAGAGACCGAGCCGAGGCACGTGCGAGGCGCCAGCGGCTGTTCGAGACCTACGAGATGTATCGTCGTATGCACCCTGATGGCACCAGCAGGAGACAGCAAGACGGTCCCAGTGGTGGTGGTGGTGGTGGGCAGCCCGGCAGCCGCGCCATCGCTATCGCCGACCCTGCGTCACATGTTCCCGAGCCACCCACGACCCGCGCGCCAGACGATAATTTCGTGGACATCGACTCACCCAGGCCCCCTCTCCCGGATCCGTCCATTCAGCCCAGCAACACCAGCAGCAACAGCAGCTCTGCCCTGAGTGGCCCTTCGGCGGCTGCTCGTGCGCGAGCAGCTGGGCGGGGGATACTGGTAGCGCTGGGCCGAGGTGCGCACATGAACAAGCCGGCGTGGTCGGCCGAGCAGGAGCGGAGGAATGGGGGCGGGAGTGGTGGTGGTGGTGGACGAGGCAGCGGCAACCCGGATGACAGTGCAGGGCCGCCATCGGCCGGGCCATCGACCTAGCCACACAAGAGGGGCGGGGCGGGGGTGAGGAGAAGTTTGTGTGTGGTGCAGCGGGATTCATTGGCTTGTCTGGATGGATGGATGGATAGTTGTGAACACGGCTTCATGGCAGGAATGACACTTTGATTAACGGGTGTCTAAATTGCATTGGACGGTCACATCGCCGGCCGCACAAATGTGTTCCTCCCTCCCTCCCTCCCCCCTCCCCACCGAATTCACCAAAAAAGCTGAGCTCACACAAACAAGTCCGAAGCATGAAGGCTGGCACAGAAGATGCCATCCATCAATCTATCCCATCCCATCACGACCAACTAAGGCCATCCGTCCGTCACCAGTCGTCAGTCCACTTCACTTGATAAGGGAGCTGAGCCGCGATATGCCGACGGTGCAGACGAACCCGCAGGCAGCAATATACAGATTCCGCTGAGACCGCCAGTAGGACGCCTTGTCCTCGAAGCTGGGCGACTCCGTCCACGCGCTCTTCCACTCGTTCATCGACACACACCACACCACAAACCACACCTGCACGACAGACGGACACACAGCAGTCCTCAAGACAGCACACAGCGAGCCGAAGCGAACAGCGTGCTCTTCTCTCCTCTCATCGCTCACCCACCACGGAGAGAGCAGCCAAGGCCGTCTGGATGTTGCTCTGCCCGAAGAAGGAGGCCGCCTCCCGCCTGCAGTGCACACAGCCACAGCCACAGAACAGACGCCACGAGCCACACGCGTGGCTGGTGGGTCTGTCTGGTCGACCTGCATGGCTGCCTACTTCATCTTTAGAGGTGCGAAGCACAGAAAGAGGAACGAGATGAAAGCCGACAGCATGACGTAGTAGAGCGGGGTCATCAGGAACGATAACATCTCGATGGACAGCTCGTGCGTGGCTAGATGAGCTGACTTTGAGGCTCAGCAGCAGCAGTCCTGGCAATTGGAGTGATCAGCAAACGGAGAGATCTCCCAGACCGATAGCACGACTGTGTCTGCCGATGCTTCTTTATGCTTCTTTATCCTACCTGTTTGTCTCTTCTTCGCTTGGGGCTATTTGAGCTCGCACTTGAACCCTAGACCCCAAACCCTGAAGTGCGAAACCCTAAAGGGAAGGTGGTTGGGTTGGGTTGTTAGCGTCACACACGTCGGCCGCCAGGCCTGGGAGACCAGCGTCCAATAGACGAGGGCAATTGGCCGAGGGAAAAATACCATCTCGTGTAAACCATTCTGCTCGGCAAAGGAGGAAGGAGGAGAGATGATCTCGCCGGGAGGGAAGGATGAGAGCAAAGCACGCCTCTGTGCTCTTCTCCTCTGCCGTGTTTGAGTGTAGCCATGGGAGCGGCAGCTTCGTCATCTGCCTCTCGCCCTCGGGCGGAGGTGAGTCAAGGCACGGCTACCGTAGACTGCCATTGCAAACGATGTGTGTGTTTGCCGGTTTCATCAGGCGACGCCATGCTGCGCAAGTAGTCGTTATCAGGAGGGCACTCGTGTGTTGCTGATGTCGACCACCAAGAGGGCTCCCACTGAGGACTACGTGTGGGTCAAGGCCGAGGTGGTCAGCATCGTCCCACACGTCTTCTACATGAGGGAGGGCACTCTGCGTGAGGGGATGGATCTCCACATGAGGGAGGCGGGCGGGAGGGGGGAGCAGTATGAGCAAGTGGTGCCTTACCAGACCAACAAGACCACAAACTCGAACGCATCGACGCCCGTGGTAGGCAGGCACAATACACCTCACACAACAAAGGCTCAGCTCCCTGGACGGACCCACTGGTTGACGTCTGTTTTTGGTGGGGTGCTCGGGTCGGCTGTGTGCTGTGTCGGTGTTGTATATCCGCAGCGGTGGGATTGCAACAAGAAGGTAGCGCACACAGGCACACACAGCACACGAACGACGCGACCCATTCTCCCTTGGTCGTTTCTCTGCTTTGCCGCCAGGCCCCTGTTGGTTTTGGCGAGGACCTTCTGGCATCGGTGTTCGGCTTCTTGTCCCCTCGCGAGCTGTCCGCCCTCTTCCCGCCCCCTTGCAGCACCGGCCCTGAGACGATCACCCTCCTCAACAAGAAGTCCCGCAGACACAAGCAGACACGCAGGAAATCTGGCTGGTAAGTGAGCAGATGGACGGCAAGGACAGCTTTGGATGCCAAGAGCGATGGATGGATGCATCCCTTCCTTCCTCTGTGGTGTTCTCTTCAGCCGTGTTCGAGCCATTGGCGGCGACGCCACCAGCGACTCACCCCTCTCGCCCATCACACCGTCTTCCGCCCTGCCGTCGACTACTGGCGGTGGGCTATTTGCCGGCGCCACATTCGGATCGACCAATGCGATAGAAGAGCCCGCCGGCAGCGAGACCACGGAGGTATCCGAGGAGAGAGGTCCCGCCATCGGCCGCCGTGGTCGGCGAGGCCGCGGTCGGCGGGTTGTGCCATCGGTAGCATCCCTGTTTGGCGGGTCGTCTGTGATATGCACATCAACGGGAGAGGGGGGCCTGGCGACTGCTGCCGCGCCACCAGGCGGCGGCACAGCGTCGCTCTTCACATTCGGCGCAACGACCCCCGCATCTCAGTCACGACCCCCGCATCTCATTTGGAACAAGCCCGTGAGCACAGCCCCTGCGCCCGCTTCGAGCGCCAGCCTCACCACCACCACCACGACCACAGCCCCAGTCGACCTCTTCGGCGGCAGCATCCAGACCCAGAGTGGCAGCCTATTCGCGCCTGCGAAAGCGCCAACCGCATCACGGCCGCCAACCGCATCACGGCTCGATAAGGCGTCCACAAAGGGACGATGTGGCGGCCTGTTTGGTGCTGAGGCAGCGTTGGGTGGTGAGTCTCTGTTCGGTGGAGTCGGCCCGACGGGCAGCATCTTTGGCGGCACTGGTGAGTGACGGGGGGGGGCCGACGCACATGGATGGATGGATGGATGAATCTCATGCCGGCTGCGTGTGTGTGTGGATGGATCAGGTATGACGGCGTCATCCCTCTCCAGCGGCAGTGGGGCGTCATTGTCCACCGGCGGCAGCCGGTTTGGCGAAGCGGCCTTCGCGCAGCGATCAACCGGTAGTGTCACGGAGAGCAGCGAGTCCCCCGTGTACATGGCAGCCCTTCACCAGCAGACACACGTCGCTATCCACCCTCTCACCGATGACGACCGCCACTTCTGGGAGAACATGACGCCTGAGGAGGCGTTCGGGCTCGGCAGAGGGCTCGTCAACCTGACAGCCCTCAGCCTCGTGCAGCCATCGGACAATCCGTTGTGGTGCCTGGACAGCATGATAGCTATCGTAGAGGGCCAGGCGGCGGGGCGTGGCGAGGTGTGCAAGAAGGAGGGGCAGCAGCACATGGCGGAGGGATCCCTCGAGACCATCCACTTCACCACCACCACCACCAGCACCACCACCACCACCGCGACGACCACCAGCAACCGTCCCCCTATCCCTCCTTCATTCACCAATTCGCCCCCGACCCTCCATGCCCTCAAGGCCGTCACTGGAGCCCTCCCACAGCACGACGTGCTGGTCAACACGGGCTGGAAGATGCCCGCGCTCGAGTGTGTGGAGCAGGTGGGGTGGGGCGCCCGCACGCTGGGCCGCTTCATCAGCTCGTCGCAGTCGCTCAAGGCCGTCAGTGGGAGTCGCTTCTCCTGGTGGTACTGGGCGGCTGTCTTCAGGCGCATACCCGAGGCCCCTGCCGGGCAGCCAGGGCCGCTCAGACAGCTGGAGCGCATCGGAGCACTCAGGCTTGATACGGAAGGAGCCAGACAACTCCAGGTGGGCAATTGCCGCGCCACACAGCAAAGGCATCGTCTGTGCGTGTGCTCGCTCATGCATATGACGTCCTTCCTACCGTCCTTTTGTTCTTAGGATCTGCTCACGTCGCGCGGCTGCCAGAAGTCGCTGACGGGGCTCGACGTGCACATTCCACCGTCAATGCAAGCCAGCACCCTCCCCGATCTGCTCGCCATCGACGACCTGATCAACATGTGCTGTGTGTCGTCCGACGTCCCCATCACCGTGACGTCTACGCCGAGCTCCTTCGACCTGGCCGTCTTCTACGCCGACGCACTCCCCCCTCGCCCATCCCCCTTCGTCAAGGCTGCTATGCAGGAGGCGGCACGGCGGGCAACCAAGGTGCGCTATTCCCTCACCAATCATGACATCACCCACCCCATCGACAATCCCACCCAGGCCGCCATCGACATCGCATCGAGCCTCTCATTCGAGAGGGCGGAGCGCGTGACAGTCGAGAGGGCCGCTGGCGTCGCGATCTTTCCCGGCACGCCCTCACCCGCCCCCGCCATCATCAGCCACCTGCAGCCGTTCCCAAATGCAAGAGAGCTGCGTATCGGCCTTCTGGGGAGTGCTGCAGGCCGGCTGTTGGCGCAGAAGATGCCCATGCAAATGGGGAAGGTGGGATTCCGCAAAGGCGTGAGCAGGGAGGAGAGGGACGAGGTGCTCGACGGATTGGGGAGTGAGAGGGAGGTGGCTGCTGTCGCTGCTGGGGAAGATCTCACCGAGAACCCCTTTGGCGTGTGGGGGTCGGCGACATCGCCATCGATTCACAACATACGGCTAGACGTGGAAGGTATGCACTGAAGTGCAGTCAGTGCACTCACTGATTGTCCGCCGGTATTATGCGCGTGTGAATGTCTCGTCATTCAGTGCCTGAGTTCTCTGATGCTGCCGTACTCGCCCACGACCTCCTGTGGACACTGCTCACTGCTGGCGTGCCAGGCCTGACGGCAGTGCAGCTGTGGTTGGCAGCGCCATATGACGACATGTTTGGGACGGTCCTTCGGCAGGTGCTCCCGAACGGCATGCAAATAGGCGGCTTTGACGTCACCATATCGGACGGCCTCGGCGTCTTCGTGGTGGAGGCAACTCGTCTCTCTTGAAGCGTGTGAGTGAGTGACATGGAGAAGGACAAGGGCTCACGGTGTGTGCACGTGTGTGTGTGTGGTCAGGCTGCAGTCTGTCGAGCTGCCCATGACAAGACAGCACCGTAGCCATAGTTGCCGAATGACCGAGGTCATCTGTGTAGAAAGGGCTGAGTAGACACTGTCTTGATTCATTCATGTGTGCGAGTGGCCCGCCAGACGCCGTGCATGACGTGGGTGTGGGCACTGGACAGTTAATTGTCATGCCATGCAGCCACTAGGGGATCCGGACGCATCAAGACGTTTCAGGTACCCGAAACACAGTCGTCGTTGAGATACACAGATCATGAGAGTCTCTCGCAACATGCCACAATAAAATTGAAAGAGCTGCACGAGCCATACACAAACCCGCCGCTTCCCCCATCCACAATCACTCACCCACTCATCCCCCCTCCCTCCCCTCTGTCTCCCTCCATCCCTCTCCGTCACAGTCAGTCGATGCCCAGCGACACAAACAGCCCGGTAGCCTTGTCGATGCTTCCCAGCTGTTGCCATGAGAATTGGCAGTCCTAATACCCGAGGTGCTCGTTGAAGCCCTTGACCACACCCATTACACCATACTGCGCCTCGTCCAGCCGGGCCCGATGCACCACCTCACGCACACCCAACCTGCGGCCACCCACACCGCCCACCCTAAAGCACTGCAGCGGCGGCACGGTCACCTTGACGCGCTTGTCGCCCTGCTGCTCGTGTCTCGTCCCGCCCACCACCTCCTTATTGCTGCTCGTCTGGGTGGCCGCCGACTTGACGAAGTGGCCGACGGCCGCACCCACGCGGCGCCTCAGCGGCGACTCGCCGGTGAGGTACTGGTCGATGGCGGCCACAGCAGCGGAGGGGTCGTGCAGGAAGGCGCCGATCTTCCATCCGATGGCCTCTGCCTCATGTGGGCCGAATGCCATGTTGGATGGGGAGGGGTTGGGTGGGCGCCGTCGTGGTGGGGGGCGAGGGGCAGCAGACGGGCGAGAAGCATCGAGTGGTCACGCTGGGGGGCGAGGGCGGCATTGATGGCCGACATGACGACCTCGGACAACTCATTCAGCACTGTGGCATACTCGGTCAGCACCAGCTGGCGGCACCGGCGCTGCTCCTCGGTGGCGGTGAGCATGCGGGCGATGGATGGGGCCGCCCCGGTCCGCAGCAGCATACCGATGATGGTCTTGTACTTGCGGATGTGTCCTGAGCGCCGCTCCTCCTCTCCCTGTCCATATTGATGCCGCGCACAAGAGTCGAGCGCCTGGGCAGCCTCTGCGAGGGGTGTTCTGTCGGGGTGGTTCGGCTTCCCTCTGTTGACGTCGCCGGCTGTCAGCTGGCGGCACAGCCACTCAGCCACATAGTAGGAGCCAAACGATGCCGCCAAGTGCAGTGGCGTGCAGCCGAAGTTGTCTGTTGCCGTCGTGTCGGCTCCGACGTGGCTGGTGATGAGGGTGAGGTACTGATCGATGAACAGCTGGGAGAAGATGGAAGGGACCGAGACTGCCATATGTACCAGATTGGCTCCAAAGGACCGCTCTGCGGCGAGTGTGCTGTCGTGTTCGAGGAGCCGACGGTAGATTGACATGAGAATGTCCTCGTACTCACGAGTGGCGGGAGGGGCAGTATCACCGTCGAAGTAGGGAAGCCCCATCGCCCTAACTCCCTGCACGTTGGCCTGACGCGCCAGGAGGGCCTCGACAGCCGTCAAGTTGCCCGCACGAACCGCCACCCTGATGACCCGCTGCTCCAACCCGCCGCCATTGATGTTCGCCCCGCCGTCGATGAGTGCATTGATGACGTCACGCTGCAGCTGACCGGAGGACCACTGCGGCAACACCACGGGCACCTCTTGGTTACGAGCGCCGCGCGCGTAGAGGAATGGTGTGTTTGCTGGGCTGTCGATGGCGAAAGACAGGCAGCTGTATCGCCATCGCAAGCCCAGGGAGCTCCCTGTGGCGCTGCGGACGCACATTCCGCCGAAGGCTCTCGGGTCGGCTCCTTGGTGGATCAGCTGTGTGACTTGGGCGGCCGAAGTGAAGGTGCGCCGAATGCAGCCCTCCAACAGCTGTCGGCTGACACGACTCACGCCCGCATCAGGGACGATGTCGACTTTGTCCAGGTGCCTACAGCCGCGTGGGACCTTAGCAGGAGGAGGTGCTTGCGATGCGGCAGAGGACGATTGAGCCATCGCACCAGGTCGCAAGCCTGCGCGGACAGACAGCGACCCACACAGTCACTTGCAAGCCTTCTTTCTTTCAACGTTGCTGGCGCACCTGGTCAGTCAGTCAGTCAGTCGGTGGCCACCAACGACACCTGCAGTGACAACACAGAGAGATGCCACGCCCATGTGCTTCTCCGCCCATTTGCTTTTCCATCCCACATCGTTGATTCGTTCATTCGTCCTCATACCATACCATCGGCAGGTGAATCACCCCAAGACAAACGCAGCGCTGCTTCTCCGTTTGCTTCTTCACCCAGGGCTCAACACCTGACAACACATACAGCCGAGCACACAGCCCGCGATGCGATGCGGCCGTCACTCACTTTGCTTGCTGACCTTCTGCTGGGTTGCGGCGTGAGGAAGTTCTGCAGGCTGGTGTAGCCGAACAAGACGATGAAGGCGAGGCACAGCAGCGAGAGGAATGAGTGATAGGGCGGCTCGGTCTGACTGCGGATCTCATAAGGGATCTTCCTGCACCACACAGACAGACAGACAGGCAGCAGTGCAGTAATGCGTAGTCAGTCAGTCAGATCTGGCGCACCGAAAGAAGTCAAAGTCGCGAAGTCCCATGGCTGCGCAAGTACAATTCCTCCTAGCGCAATGTCGAGGTGATCCCTTCACTGCACGCGCGAAAGCTAAGCTCGCGGATGTGGAGGGTTTCTCGGGTTCAGGGTTCGTTCCAGAGAAAGTCTTCGGCGGATCTGTCGCTGTTGTCGAGTTGTTCACTTCTTTTGTCGCTTTGTCCACTTTTCTGCGTCGTCCGTCTTCTGTACTGACCATTTGGTACTGACTGGCGTCGAATCGTCTCATTCTGCTCTCTCTACGCTGTCCGATGCCGAAAGCGGTATGTCAGGGGAGGCAGGGCGTGCATGCAGCAGCCACATCCACCGGCAGCCTCACACTGATACAAACAATGTGTGTGTGTCATTGCAGGGCTCCAAGGGACGCTCCTCAGGCCGCAGCCAGCCCTACTGCAAAGGCGGCAAGACCAAGAAGGCTAACCAGCAGGCGACTGACCAGGTGCAGCTCACGATTCAGCGGCAGAATGCCGCCGAGCGAGAGGCCGTGTTGGGCAATGGCAGGATGGCGAAGCTCCAGGCCATGACGCCCGACTACAGTGAGGCGGCGTTCAAGAACAACCTGACGGTGGCACAGCACCCCTCCATCATTCCCGCACACAAGAGCCGCGTAAGGGAGCAAACCGCACACTGACCATCCGGCGCGTGTGCATTGTGTGGTGGCTGTGGTGGTGTGGTGTGTGCAGGACCGTTATGAGGTGTCTGAGGAGTTCCTGCAGGGCTGCGGCAACACGTTCAACCAGTTCCGCGGCTTCACGGTGGACCGAGTGGCCGACGGCTGCGACCGCATGGACGTGACGAGGGCGGCACAGCACCTGGCTGTGCGCCTCTTCGACCACTATGAGCACAAACGTAACTCAACACAGACACACAAATCCAGATGGGATACACACACTGAACTCATTCCCTCTTTGCTGTGCTGTGTTGTGGTGTGCAGTGTGGCAGCAGCGGAAGGAGGAGACCGACCTGCTGGTCCGCAACCCAATGGCGGTACGTCAAATCAATCCTCACACACAGAAAGACACGAGAGCCGTGTGTGTGTGTGTGTGTGTGTATTGTGTCTGTCAGGTGGGTTTCGCGTGTCTGTTGATAGCGTCCAAGTACGAGGAGAAGGTGCCCGTGAGTGTGGCCCAGCTGGTCGACCTCATCAACGAGGTGCCGCTGGCCAGCGGCATGAGGGACCGCACCTACACCGCCGTCGACCTCCTCAACTTGGAGATCCACATACTCATGTACGGCCGCACACAGAGGGAGGGAGGGAGGGAGGGTGACACCTGTGTGTGTGGTGCCTTGATGCAGGACGGTGGGCATGGAGTTGCCGGAGTCGACTGCGGCCACGTTTGCTGATCGGTTCGCCAAGGCGGGCGGCATCGCCATGGGCTCCAAGGAACACGCCTTCGTCCACTTCCTCCTGGTGAGTTCGTCCACAACCACACCTCAGCATCACAGCACCACTCATATGTCCGTGTCGTGTCTGTGTCGTGTGTGCGTGTGCAGGAGCTGTCGTTGACGGACTATAACTTCTCCAAGTACAAGGCCAGCATGACCGCGGTATGGACACACACACAGACACACACACATACAAACCAACACCCATTTCTCGCCTCGCCCTCACTGTCTGTGTGTGGTGTTGATGACATACTCCCATGCCATCGATCGGCCAGGCTGCTGCCGTGTACATGAGCCGCAAGAAATTTCTTCTCCGGGAAGGCCAGCCGCTGCACGGCGAGAGAACCTGGGTGCGTCTGTCTGGCGGAGGAAGGAAAAACACACCATGGATGTCTTGACGGCTGGGGTGTCTGTCGTTTGTGTGTGTGTGCAGACGGACACGTTGGTGACAGTGACGGGCATCAAGAAGGGCAAGAAGAGTGAGCTGCTTGGCGAGTGCGTCACGCGGATGGGCAACCTGGGGAGGAGCTACGGCAAACCCGACCAGGCTGTGGTGCGTCCACACGGCACTCACTCTCACAGATGGACACACACACACACACACACTTCTCTGCGGATGTGTGTTGATGCAGGGCCAGCATGACGCGCTGATAGCTAAGTGGTCGCTGCCGGGCTACTTCGGCATCGGCAGCGTCTTGTACTTTTGATGCCCAAACAAACCCCGAGACACACATACACACACACTGAAGTGAGCGGCCAAGCACCACCACAACCAGCACACACGCAATGTGCGATGTCGTTCATTACTTGCCGTGTGTGCAGCTGTGTGTTTGGTTGACTGCTTGGCTGGTGGTGATGCACTGACGGCGGGGCTGCATGCTGGTGCTGCTGTGGAGGCTGTCTACCCATAGATATCACACCTAAACTCTCTCTCTCTCTCTCACTGTGTGCATTCTCATCTTTGCTGGCGGGCGGGAGAGGGTGGGTGAATTCGATGGGTCCCACACACACCACACCGATCCCCGTACTCACCGCCTAAGAGAGCGGGCGGGCGGATGAATTCATGGGCGAGACGCCACCGCCAGTGAGATCGATCTTTCTTTTGTCGTAAGGGGGCACGCCAAGTCACATAAACACACACAGTAGGCGGTGCAAAAGACGCCGACCGACTGACCACATGATAACACACACGCAAAGAAGGAAGGACTCTCCTGGTGGAATTGCAAGACCGGCTGGCGTGTGGGGATGAGTAATTGGATGGATGAATGGATGGATGGTTGACGGTGCGATATGGGGGTGGGGAGGGCAGCATGATGGCTGGACAGGTGGGTGGACGGCAAGCGGCCTGACGCGAGAGACATTCATTACATGAAGCACTTATGTACGTGTAAAGGTCGATGACGCGACACCATGGTCCAACTGACAGGCTGTCAACCGCCCCTATGTGAAATGCTCGTCTCCCTCTTCCGCAGTAGACCGCACCCATCCCCCTCTCTCTATCACTTCAGGCAGAGTGTGGTGTCATCACTGAACACCACCACAAACGGCGATCCGGCCGACGCCAAGGCCTCATCCACAGCAGCAGTCGCCAGATAGGCGGGGGAGTGACGCAGCAGATGCGGTGTGAGGTTGCGGACCAGTGCCTGAGTCATATGATCGCTGAACTCCACTTTCTTGAGGCCTGGTGTATTGCGGATAACGGCCATGATGAAGTCGGTCTGCACATCGCCGAATCGGTCGTGGACACAACAGGGTGTCTCGATGAACAGTTCCCTGATGGGCGGGAGTCCGCCGGCGAGGTTGGGCGTCGTGAAGAGGTGGTTGATGGGCGACGTCTGCGGCCGGAACTCCGCGATGTCAGCAAGCATATGGATCGTCCGAAAGCGCAATATCACCTTGTCTACATGGCCGGTCGTCTTCAGGCACTCGAGTATCAGCTGTGCGAGGAGGTCGGGAGCGGCCTCAGGTGGCGGCGGGTCGTCATCGCTGCCGTAGCTCGTGTCGTAGCTGCTGGGTGTGTTCCTCAGTTCGATGCGGGTCCTTGTGAGCTGCCCCCTGACTGGCATGAGCAGCTCTCTCACCCCGCCCTGTCGAATCAAACGGATGGACGGGCTCTTGAAGCAGACGGTCTCGAGTCGCGGAAAGCGGCTGCGCGGGGCCGCTGGGAGCGATGGCAGCACGCAGTTGGTGATAGCGGGGGAGCCACAGATGGTCAGATTGTCCAGCGACTCGAAGACGTAATCGCCGAAGCTGCCGCTGCCGGTCGCCGGTGCCGCGATCGACACGGCCTTGACCACCATTGACCTTGCCATCCGGGCCATCTCACGGATGATCTTCCTAGGCAGCGCATCGGAGGCCGTCAGACCGAGACGCAGCAGCCTGTCGTCAAATAAGGGAGACGTCTTGACGAGCAGCTGGAAGGGCCGCTGAGTGGGCCTCTTGTCCACCATCTCGCCACTCGCACCGTCATGGTCATCTGTGGGCACCATGTTGGGGAAGAGGGGCGCCCTCCTCTCGCCGCCCACCGATGGCTCACACGCAGCTGCAGCGCTCGAAGACGGCCGAGCCGCGACGGAATCCACCTGGCGAGGATGGTTGATCACATTGGCCATGATGTGGTCATCCCACGCCCGCGGTGCGCCGGGGATGACCGACACGTCAGGGATGACCGTCACGTGTGGGACGGCTGCCGATATGCCCACACCCGCCAGCCGATGGATGGCCGTGGCGAGGGCTCGCAAGCTGGTGAGGATGCCATTTGGCTCCATGTCCTCCACGTCAATACACACGCCGAGTGTGTGGATGCGGCCGTTGCGGCCGACGGCCCCCTTGCTCTCCAGCACACTCAGCAGCGGCTGCCAGGATGAGGCGTCCGTCGCCGTCAGGTCGATGCAGCCCAGCGAGGTCAGGCCGGCCAGGGAGGGGGCGGCCGACAGGGATGAGGTGAGGTGGGGAAGGGGGAAGGGCGTCACGTGGAGGTGGCTGAGGTGGGGCGATGCCTTGACCCAGCTCCTGAAGTACTGGGGCGCAATGGGAAAGCTGACGACGAGTGTCTTGAGGGCGGGGAGGGACCATCGCCGATCGTATGCCGCGCCTTGCCACAGTGTGCCGTACAGCACCACCTCCTCAAGCTTGCCGAAGGTCACCATCGGCGGCCGAGGGTTGGCGGTGACGGGCAAGTTGGACGGCGAGATGGGCACGGTGGTCGTCTTGTCCTCCAGTCGACACTTCTTGAGCGATGCCGCCGAACCCTCGAGCACCTTGGCGTACACTGCCCGATGGCCGAGGGCACGGCGACGCGCCTCCGTCGCCTCGTCGTTGCCACCCACCACTTGCGGCGGCTCATCATCCCCTTCTCGCCCGTCGTCACTGGCGGTGTCATCGCCCGGCCGGTCCTGACCGGGCCCCCGCGAGTAGACCTCCTCGTCTGTGGTGATGGCGGCCGTCTGCAGGTGGGTCAGCCGGCACCGCAGCTGCCGCAGGACGGCCCGCGATGCTCTGCGCCACATCTGGTGGGTGGCGGGGGTGATGAACAGATGGCGGATGACGAACGGCGACCGGCACGTGTCTTGGAGAGTCTTGTTGATGAGAGCCAGACGGACGGCCTCCAGTGTCGGCATGTGGTCACACACGTGGGCCAGCTTCTCGGGCGGGACGCCGCACAGCGACGCATTGGGCGGCGGGGCAGCCTGACCACAATGGCGAGCAAACAAGCAAACAAACGACGTGTGTGCGGGGAGGATGGGTGTTTGCTTCACGTAGCGTCTTTGACTCACCAGGTCTCGCTGTCTGACGATTTCATTGGCGATGGCCTGAGCCTCCGGGCTGCTGAAATCTGAAACACACACACACACACACACACATACATTAACACACCAAAGTGCATCAACGACGCATTGCACACCACGTCTGTATCGTGAGTGCCATCATGTCACCTGTCGGCTGCTGCTCATTGTGCTGCTGCTGAGGTTCCTGATCCGCCTTGTCTGATGCAGCGGCCGGCCGCAGGAAGCGACGAATGTCAACTTGCCAGAGCATGGCTGACGCGATGAACAGGCAAGGCAGCGCAGCTTCTGTGTGTCCTAATGAGCCGACAGGGGACGCCTGACAGGCTCAGCAGCAGCAGAAAGGCCGATGGCTCTCCAGAGGCGGGCCAGCAAATGGAGAGATCTGGAGTGTCGATAGCAGGAGGGTACGCGCGAGCGGAGAAAACGGTGCCAAGGGTTCAGGGCGGTACGAAAACTGCGGAAAGCATCTGCGCTCGCAGTTCTGATCGCCCGAAGCGAAAGAACGGCAGCTGAAAGAGGTCGGCTGCAACGATGACCGCTTCTCATTGCACAGCTGAAAGGACCATGAGGCCTCCAAGCTCACTTATGGCCAAGGTAGGTGCCAACAAACACAGAACAAGATGGAGAGATCGCCCGCGTCGCGGCAAGCGCCAAGAGAAGGATGCATTGCACCTCTCTCCCCAGTGTCCCCTCCTGCCGTTCCTTAGACTCAGAAGCACTCACAGAAGCGCAGCGCTGCACATGACGGGTACGTCAGCTCTCTCTCCATTGAGGTCTCCTTCTCTGTCGGAGGTCTGTGGCTGTGTGCTGTTGATGCAGGTGCCATGATGTTGGCGGTGGTCTTGGCTGTCGTCCTGCTGACTTCTCAGTGTCTGCCCGGGGCGGCGTCGGCCTTTGTCCACCCGCCCCTTCGTCTCTCCCGCATCAACCGGGGCAGACTGCTGTCAGTGTACTCACAGATAACAGGCATCAAATCGCCCACCACGGTAGGTACTATCGTCTTGCGTGTCTTACCCGCAGCAGCATGCACCACAAGAACCATGTGTGTGTGTGTGTGTGTGTGTGTCACAGCAGGGTGCGGGTAAGCAGCGGCGGATAGCTGACGTGGACAAGGAGCTCGGCAGCTTCGAACGGGACAGGTTCTTTATGGCCAAGTACAAGAAGTTTGAGGCGCTCAAGCAGAAAAAGAGGCAGCTCATCCAGCAGACCAAAGGCATACACGCACACACACACACACACACACCACATGAGTTTTCTCCCTCCCTCCCTCCCTCCCTGTCCGTCTGTCTGTCTGTGCGGTGTGGTCATCTATCGCTGTGTGCAGATCCCTTGAAAGAGGCCGGTGCGGTAGCACTAGCTTTTCTTCTCGGCTTGGTGGGTATGGTGCTGTGGATCGGGTTTCTGCTTGCTGGCTTCAACTGGGCTTTTCAGAAATAAGGGGATCAGTGCGTCGATGGAGGGGCGTGGACAGATCGGCCGAAGTGTGTGTACCAGTACATGTATGGCGGTATCAAACGGGGGCGTTACTGCGCCTTCGCTTTAGTGTGTGTGTGTGTGTGTGGCTCGGATGTGTGTGTGGCTGTCGGACCGAGACGAGATGGGATTCTATGGCTGGCTGGCTGGCTTGCTGGCTGGCTGACTGCATGTACTCTGACCAAGCTACCTCAAACAATCAAAGTACCTCACTAACACACGCACACACCCTGGTCAGTGATGTGTGTGTGGGCGATTTGTGGTGGGGTTGGGGTGAACGAATGTTTCTTTGTAGACGCAAATACGACGTGGCTTGAAGCTCACCAAATAACAAATGCATGCAGCCACCGAGGGATCAACAACAAAGGATCACATCGATTCATTCACACAAGTAAATCAGTCAACACTACAGCGGTCGGCCACAGACCCACGCACCCGCCCTCCCTCCCTCCCCCCCTATCTCCTCTCCTTCTCTACAACTTGTGTATCTTGAGCGGCGGCGGCCCCGGCAGACTCGCCCCACTGCCAGTGAGGGCACCATCGCCACAACCGCTCTCCCCAGTATTGCCGTCGTCGGTCATCTCCCCGAAGATCCTCTCGGCCCTGTTGAAGCGCGGGTCGCGCGAGAGGTTGCTGATCCAGGAGTCGCTGCAGCACTCGAGCACCTTCCGCTTGAACTGCCGGGCCTCGCGACGCTCCTCGTGCGTGGCTTCGCCCAGCCTGTCCTCCATCCTCAGCCGCTTCACCTGCACACACACATGTTATGGGGAAGGCTGCGTTCGTTGGTTGGTTGTGTGCGGTGGTGTGTGTGGTGCCGTCACTTTTTCGTATGTCTGCCAGAGGCGGGCGGCCTCCTGGTTGGCGGGCGACTCGGCGTTGGGGTTCTCCAGGAAAGTCTGATGAAGGTGGACAAACAGACAGACACCGTCCAGGGCATGAAATGTGTTTATTGTGTTGTCTGTGTATGTGCAGGCACGTCACCTGCAGGTGGAACAGGAGGCCCTTGAAGCCGATGCTCGAGTTCCACCCCTTCCCCTCCAGCAGCTCCCAGCAGATCTTGCCGTCCTTGTACACTGCACCACACACACACACACGCACACACAGCAATGGTCGTATGCATCCCCCTCCCTCCCTCACCATTGGGGTGGTACACGGGTGTGGTGAAGGCCACTTTGGGCGGCACATCGGGGTACTCCAGGTCCCGGCGGTTCTCGGGCCTGGGCAGCGTGATGCTCAGGTGAAACTGGCCCGTCTCATACACCGAACCCTCAAACCTGGCAGATCAACAACACAGTCCACACAAGCCATCCATCGTGTGTGTGTGTGTATTGGGGTGTCGTTGGTATGCACGTCATCGACGCAACGCACCCCCGTATGACGGCAGTGAACTCCGAGAGGCTGTTCTCGTCGGGCACGCCAAACCTTGTCCCGTCGGGGATCTCACGCGCCAGCTCCTGCACATCCTCCACCACACGGCGAGCCTGAATGGACCAAACATGATTGATTGATTGACACAGACAGACAAGACCGCTCTGATCTGCTTACCGAGACGCTGGTCATCAGAGGCACGTGGTCAGATCGATGATGAGTGAGAAAACCAACATGAGGCTGCGCCGAGGCTTCATCCCGAAGGCAAAGGGGGAAAGGGGTTGGGTCGCTCCTTGAGGTGCGAGCTTGAGATCCCAAGTTTGAGGGTGAAGATGGACACGTAGCGTGGACGTAAGCTGGAGAGAGGTAGGGAGGCAGCAAAACCAAGGATCTGGAGCCAAAGATGTGCATTGCGTGGCATTCTCAGGCATTCTCTGGATGCAGATGGACGAATGTGGTCACTGTGGCCTCTCTAATGAGTGGTTGGATGCGGCAGAGCCTGCCGTGGAGTGGATGAGGGCGTCCTGAGATCCATCTCGGCACCATGCAGCTGTTCCGCAGCCTCTCGTCCTACTTGACGGAAGCGGCTGGCAAGGCCAAGAGCGACGACGACGGCCTCGTTGACCGCATCGGTAGTGCAAACGAGCCAGGCAAACCGGTGAGTGCTCCACAGACGTGAGCGGCACCTTGGCTGAAGCACTTGGTGTCCATTCATTCCTCCACACAGGGACCGGTGATAGGCATTGCTGTCGAGCGCGGCGTCCACCAGGCACTGCCCAACTCGGCTGACTCATCCCCTTCCAGCAGCCCGCACCCTCCCACCGTCCCACCTGCGCACCACCAGCCCCTCCCATCGCCAGTGAACTTTCATGCCATCGTGCTGGCCACCCCCCGGTGGCTGGAGAGGTACGATAAGGGAGGCAACAGGATAGGGCGGGTGCCCATGCAGCCGGCCATGGCAGCCTTCGAGACGACGCGCATCGCGGGGGTGGGCAGCTGTCACCTATGTGGGTGCCTTGATGGGAGGGTGGTGGTGCTCAAGGCTGGCAGCCTGGAGGTGGCTCTGGTGCTGGAGCTGCCGGACAACGAGCGGCACACAGGTGGGTTGATACAGGTGTACCTGTCGATGACACATTGATCCATGTGTTTGTTTGGGGTTGGTTGGTTTTGCAGATGCGGCTGACGGAGATGCCGACCATGGCGATTCCCTGCCGACCACTGGGATGGCGGCAGGTGCCCTCGACCTGAGCATCACGGCTGTGGGGGTCTACACGGGGCTAGACGGATTCGCGCAGAGGGTGCTTGCAGGCAACCAAAGGGGACAGGTACGTGATGGGCGAAAACACGGACACGGGAATACGCCCGGCCCGCTCGACTCTCTCCCTTTGGCGTGTGTGTGTTGTGTCTGACTGACAGGTGATTATATGGGAGGTGCCCAGTGAGCGGGTGTTGCACACAATCAGCTCCCCTCGACTCGTCACGTCACACGGCACATCCCTGTCGGCCGCATCGACAGCAGCACGGTCGTCAGACGCTCCACCCACTGCACCTAGTGACGAGGGGCAGCAGCCATCGGACGGGAGGAGGCCCTCACAAGAAGACGGCTCGCAGGGCGGCTGGCGGAGGGCATCATCGCTGGCAAGAAACTGCACACACAATCCCCATCACGGCCACACAAGTGTTTGGTTCTATCCATCAGGTGTCCGAGGGTCGTGATTTCATTGGCTGCATGGCGGTGGTGCGTGCGCTGCGTCAGCTGTGGGTGGGGTACGGCAGCGGCATGGTGGCCGTGTACCAGCTGAAGGACTTCAGGCTCGACACCACCATAAGCTTCGCCGCAGAGGCCAAGGGGGGAGGGGGCGAGGCGATCGACAGTGAGGGCGGCGCAAGTCCCGCGACAGAGATGGAGAGCGGTCTGCCTGTGAACGCGCTGTGTTGGTGCGCCCCGCTGGGGCTGTTGCTGGCGCTGGTGGGTAGTAGGTCGGTTTTTGTTCTGAGTGCCGAGACCATGTCGATAGTGCAACGGTGAGCTGAGCGGGACTTGGGCTGGGGAAGTGTGTTGATCACTGAGAGTGGTGTGGTGTGGCGTGCAGGTACTCAGCGGGTCTAATGACGTGTGGGTCTCTTTTGTCGTCCATCAAAGTAGTGGACGAGCCGTTGGGCGGGTCGCACGCGGCGCCCGCGTCCATCCTGCTGCTGGTGGGTGGCCGAGGGGTGAACAAACAAGACAAAGGCACTGCTGCCAACCATTCCGATGTGTGTGCTCATGCAATCAATCAATCACTGCAGGCCGGTGTGGACGGCTCTCTGGTGATGCGGCGGCTGCTGCGGCGGGGGAGTGACGGCAAGATCCAGTGCGTGCTCATCCGGCAGCTGGGGGCCGAGCTGCCCTCCGAGTCTGACATCCCCATCACATGCCTCCACGTCGACAGCCCACTCGATGCCCTCTTCTGCGGGGACGCCAGGTAACCACACCATACCCAGACCAGACAGACACCACACACAGAGAGGAAACTGTGTGTGCGTCTTCTCTTGGTTGGTTCTCAATCTGGTCTGCAGTGCGGTGTGTTCGATTGTGCGTCCCTTCCGGGTCCACCTTCTGTCGGCAGGCGCCATCACGACGGCTCGAGTAGAGGACCACGCCCCTCCCTATTCGCTGTATCCCGGCGGCCCCGCTGCCACGACCGACCCGGTCAACATAGGGAGGCGGGAGCAGCCATCGACGACAGGCGCTGCTGATGTGGTGCTGCCGAGTCTGCCCCCGGTGCGTGTTGGGGTGGCGGGGGCCGGGCCGGTGCAGAGCTATGTGCCACCGGCGTACACGCCCCACACACAGAGGGAGGGGGAGGGGGACGGACAGGGGTGATGACTGACTGGCTTGAAATGATGATTGACGTGGGGGTGCGGTGTGTTGTTTTGTGTGCGGATGCCTAGATTAGACTAGTAGAAAGGTATTTGTCTCGTGTTTGCTGACCGGACCGACGAGCGCTCACATTGTGCATTTCAACCACAAGCACGAACCGGTTCAGCTGCGTGATGGGCTGGGACTGCGAGTGGATGTTGGGTGCGGCGAGATGCTGTGAGAGACGTGTGTGTCGGCCGTTTGTTTGTTTGCAGTGATGACAGATGGCGCATACGCCTTCCACCTGCAGCGTTGCTTTGATTCCATCGGTCATGAAACGACCTGCCTGTGTTGGTGTCCATCGTTGGTCGTTCGTCCGCTAATTCCTTTGTGTGCGCCCACTCCCACCCCCTCACCACGCCATGCCATCGACAGCCAGCCCATGCAGCCCTGCGTGTCCCGGCAGCTGCCGCCATGATATATGCAGCGACACACACGACCGACACACAAGACAGCAGGCAGCCAAGCCACGAGAAGTCTCTCTACGAATCAACGACACACAGCGACCTCAGACAGACCGACACGCACAAAAAAGACGTGCAAACGTGTGGTATGTGTGTGACGCGACGCGACGACAGCCAATACAAACGAGTGGGCAGATCTCTCTCCGTGTCGCCCGCCAGGCACCACACCGTCTGTCTCCAGCCAGCCACAAAAGACACCCGCTTCCTCTTCTGCTGTGCTGTGCTGTGCTGTGCTGTGTGGTGGGCGGCAAAAGGGAAAACTTCCTCCGGTGTGTACGTCGATATATATATGTCTCTCTGTGTGTGTGTGTGTGTGTGTGGTATCGATAGCTCATCGTGCTGCTGCTGCTGCTGCTCTTCTCCCCTCCTCTCCTCTCCCTCACGCAACCCCCCCCCCATACTCACACCACACCACACCACACCCATCCCTCCCTCCCCACCTGTGTGTATGTTTCGTGCTGTCCACGGTAGCTCGTCTTTCCTTCTTGCCTGCCAATCCCATTCAGCGCACACAGACAGACAGCCGTGCTCAGCTCATCCGGCCATCCCTCCAGCCATCCGTCCACTGACTAGTCGTCCACTCCACACATGAGATGAGAGAGGTGCACGGCACGGCATGCGATACACACACGGACACACACAATACACACAGCACAACACAATAGACAGACAGACAGACACAGAGAGAGGGGGGAAGGGGAAGGGTGTCATGTAAGTAAGCAAAAAAGAGGAGCCTTCCCGCCTGCCTGCCTGTCTGTCTGTCTGCCGCCCGTCGTCCGTCCTTGGCTAGTTAGTAATGTCCTGATGCTTGCTGGCTAAGTAAGTAGCTCAAGTAGCCCATGTCGTGCCGCGCCTTGCTCGCCACATCCATCCATCAAGACAACTCATTCTGTCCCTACACGCACGCCACGCCACGCAGGTATGCTGCCCGTGTCAGTCAGTCAGTCAGTCAGTCGGTGTGTATGTGTGTGTGTCGGTAGAGGTAGGTGTGCAAAAGCAGGGAGGTAGGTAGGTAGGCAGAGAGATAGATAGACAGACAGACCAGACCAGAGCACAGGGCAGGAAAAGACACACCGGCCGGCCCACACACACGCAATGCAATCGAATGAAATACATGACATGTCAGTCAGGTGTGTCTTCCCATTCGTCCGTCCGTCCGTCCGTATGCACAGGGGACGCCACGCCCCCGATGAGACCCACGCCGCCCACAGCACCACAGCACCACCGTGAAAGCAGCACACCACAGCACATCACGTACTCTACAGCCATGACTGAATGAACGACGGACTGACTGACGTCAGTCAGTCGAGTCAGTCAACCGATCTATGGAGTGCTCAAACAAAACGAACGCACATCGCCCGCCTGCGGGCCCTTCTTACGGACACACACACACACACACACACACGCGCGCGCATAAATGGCATGCTCATAGACGCGTGCAACTCTTTCTTTCCGGCTGCCTGCCTGTGCCTGCCTGGCTGCTCGTCTGCCTTGCCTGTATGTGCTTTATACAAAACACGGCTGCCGTCAACCGCTCGTTCGGGTGGTCGGTCGGTCGGTCGGTCGTCTGTGTCTATCGACAGCCGCAGCAATGGAGCACACAGCACAACACACCGCAGCGCAATGCAGGACAGGATTGGAAAGAGACACAGGCATCAATCACATCGAGAGGGCAAAAAGACGGCGGGCCGGCTGGACGACTACGCGGCCGAGTGGAGAGAGAGCGAAGGCGAGCACGTGTGAATGCCTGTCTGTGCCTTCATTTAGCTAGCTGCCTTCCTCTTGCCCCCCCGCTGCCTGTCTGTCTGTCTGTGTGCCTGTGTGTGCGCCTCTACTGAGAGGATGTGCGTGTGAAAGGAAAAGACAGACGCCCCCCCGTCCGTCCATCGACCATTAAGTGTGTAGGTATCTTAAACACTCAGCACATGAATGAATGCCGCATAGCATAGCATAGCGTTCCGTTGCTTGTGGTGGGATGGAAGAGAGCGGAGCGGACCAGCCAGCCAGCCAGCCAGCCATGAGACCCACCCCCTCATCGACTAATTAGGGCGGTCGGCGGCACACACACACACACACACGGCACACAAACACACCACATACATGCACACACGTATCGTATGTCTGCAGTAGGTAGGTATCGACAAAAACGATGCTCTCTCGTACGGGCACGTACGCGGGCACTCATGGCATGGCATGGCATGACATGCACATATGCAACGAATCGAATCACAGTAAACGGACGGCCGAACAGACATACACACAGACAGACAGATGGGGTGAGGGGGTGAGGGGGTGAGGGTGGGAGATAGATAGGTAGGTAGAGACAGACAGACAGGACGGTGAGAGAGAGAGCAGTTGCAGTTGCACACAGGTGTGGTGTGGTGTGGTGGGTGTGGTGTGGTGGGCAGATACGGACGCTCGCATGCACGCATACGTCTTAGCTAGCTTGAGTCCTTGTTATTGGGGACAAAGGCTGGGCTGGGCTGTTGTGTCTTGACGGCGCGCAAACCGGTGACCGACAGATAAGAGTAGACCAGCCAGACAGACAGACAGACGGAAGGCTCCCTGACCGACCGACAGCCAGACACGCCGCACGCCACGCCAGGCCAAGCCAAGCCACGCAAAAACAAACACCGATCGAGGGACAGACAGACACCTACCTAAAGGCAGCCACCCAGCCATCCGTGCGCTCTAAAAATTTCAAGTCTTTCCTGCCTGCCGCATGAGTAGGAGATTGTAGGTAGCAATACGGTAGGGGGGTATGGTGTGAGTGTGGTGTGGTAGGTCGGTGAAAGACCACTCCCTCCCGCACTTCTCTTCCTCGCTCAACTCGCTCGCTGACCTGCCTGCCTGTCTGCCTGCTCGTGTGTGAAATGAGCAGTGAGTGAGTCGGCCAGTCAGCCCGGCAGCCAGCCAGCCAGCCAGACAGGCAGCGGTAGCACCAACACACATACAGCACGTCATAGGACGCCATGACACCCCACAGCATGACATCACACGCACGGCCAGACCACATACACACAATCAATCACACACAATGCATCATTGCAATGCGACCAACGTCACCGAGTGAGTCGGTCAGTCAAGAGGCCAATGAATGCTACTTGCTTATCTGATGTTGCCGTATTCACTTGAAACGGCACACACGCGCGCACACACCACACCACAGATATGTGACGTGAGATAACGGCCTCTCCATATATATACCGACCGTACTTCTTTCTGATTCTGGTCTCTGCGGACTGTCGTCATTGCTACATCGCTCCTTCGCCGGTCCACAACACACAAATCGCATCCACACCGGCCATGTATGGTGTGTGTTCAGCCCTTGCACAGATGCAGGCAGACACAACCATGACAAGTGCGCCGACCATCTGTGTGTGCAGACGGCGTGTATGAGAGAGATCAGACGGGAGGAGAGGAAAGGAGATGAGATGAAGGTGAGGAGAAGCCAGCCCGTTAGAGCAGCAAAAGTGCCTGCCCGGACAACAACAAGATGAAAAGCGATCTGCCTGCCATGCCTCTGCCTGCCTGCCGCTGTCGCCCAATATCGTCCATCCATTCTGTGAAAGGTGAGTGCCTCGCCATACCATACCATGCCGTGCCATACCATGCCTGCCTCTCTGTGCCTGCCTTGCCTTGCCTTGCCTCGTCTCGCCTCTGCCACATGCACACAATACACAACACGATACAGCACACACCAAGCCGCCAGCATTTGTCTCTCGTTTCTCCGTCCAGACTGAGAGGAGCGAGTGACTGAGAATCTGCTCGCTCATCTAGCAGTGTCTGTCTGTCTTGACTTCTTGTCGCCCTCTGCTTGCGTCCACGCACGGACGCACGGACGCGCGCAGAGGGTGAAAAATAGCAGTCAGTCAGGTCCTTGATCCAACCAGCAGCAGCAGCGACAGAAAAGGCACCCTCACACGCAGAGAGGTAAGCCAGCCTAGTCATTCACAGCCGCACCCATGAAAGAATGAATGGGTGCACGCTCGCCTCGCTCGTTGGTTCCTGTCTTTCTCACTTGTAGTAGACGTATCGTTTGTGCGTGCAGTATGCCTTTCAGGCCCTTTTGCCCGGCCATGCGCGGCCGAAAGGGACAGACAATAACACAACACGCAAGACAGACAGAGAGACACACAAAGATAGTAGTGAGTCAGTGAGTCAGTGAGTAGGTAGGTACATACCTATGCATACAGAGATATATATATGTATGTGTGTATGTGTGTATATGTGTGTGACAGCGCAGGCTCGTTGCCCTGCCCGAGTGGGTGGGTAACTGGACTGACTGACTGATTCCCTCACTCCCGCGCATGCATATATTGAGGGGCGGCAGGAAGCCAACCCGACGCAGGAAGGCAGGAAGGCAGGGAGGGAGGCCAGCAACGACATACACATACACGCACGTGACGCCGCACGTGGCATGCACATGCATGGATGGCGCGAGCCATCCACTCACGTGTCTGTCTTCTTGTCTCGTCTTTGTCTCGTCTTTTGTCGTTTCTTGGCGAGCGAGTTGCATGGCGCAGACCAGCATCACATACACCACACCCACACACACCCACACACACCCACACACACAGGAGGCTGCGATGAGAGCATAGATATGATGCAGAAAGATAGACAGAAGAGTATATGGGCGGCCAGCGGCCGATGGTTTGATTGATGGACACACTCACTCACACACGCATGGCTGCCCCCATCGCCGTACACACATACATACATAGACACATATGTACACACATACGGAAGGCAGACACGCAAACCAAACAAGCACGGACGCAACGCACACACGCATCGCATCGCATCCGGCGGTCTGATCTGTTGTGTTGTAAGCGAGGCGAGGGACGGGCAGAAAAAACGCCCTAGTGGCCAATCAATCAGGTGGAGCTCGAGCTGTACACAGTCAATCCATCACTTCGTCGATGGCTAGCTGGCGCATGTGAGTCTGTGTGTGGGCTCCGTGAGTGCGGGTCTGTGTGTGTGTGGGCAGCCGTCAAGAGAGGCCCGCCTATGCCGCCCTCTAATTATTAAAATGTCACTCACTCGACCCAGGTATGGGAGAGCGGAAAGGAGATGATCAAACCCATGAGGACGACAGCACACAAGAAAGTAGTAAGTACATAGTGACGATGGCGGCCGATGGCCCGCCCGCCCGGCCGTCTATCGTGTCGCTGCATGGCAGTCAGATTAGCACATAGACGGGGAAACGGGCAGGCAGGCAGGCAGGCATGGCGAGAAGAAAGAGAGAGAGGCAGAGAGGCAGAGAGGCATCCAGCCGTCCATCGATCCGTTCGATACAACACAACCAAACAAACAACCAACCAACCGACCAACCACTCTGTACAAGCCAAGTATCCCTTCACCCAATACAACACAATGCAGCCGCATCCATCCATCCATCCATCATGGCAAACCGCCCACCACCCGCCCACAACCCCGCGCATCCACCAAACCATACCATACGGACACTCTGGAAACAAATTCGCCACGTGTAGGCAGCCATCATCAGTCAGTCCATCGTCAATCGAGCAGCAGAGAGGAAGGAGACAGGGGCAGTCCATCGCGCGTGTGCCGGTCGCTTCAAAGACAGCACGGACGCACCAGGCAGACCGACACGATTACCACGCCACTTAGAGGTGCCATCCAGTCGATCAGCATCCAGTCAGACAGCCAGTCCACGTGCGTGCACGAGAGCTAGCTTTTTTTGTCGTGAGCAGGGCCACCTGCCGGCCAGGCTAGAGGCGTCAGAGTGAGGGAAAAGAGCACTAGCGGCTCACTGTGACGAGACGCCAGCATGCCCACCGACAGACGAGCCCCACTGACTGCGACGCACGTGCCGTGCAAAAATCCGGTCGGCGTATCACTTGTGTGCACATGGACAGTGGTTGCCTGTCTGCCTGCCTGCGTGCCAGAGCTAGCCACGGCGCCCAGTTGCGATGCCACGCCACGGATGGCACCCAGGGACTAGCCGGACGGACACACACGTGACGCCCCGATCTCTCCTTCCTCTGATGTGCCTTGCTTGAAAATTCGCTGTATGTCTCTGTGTGTCCTGTGTTGTGTTGTGTTCGGTGTTCTGTGTGTGTTGTGCGATGGATGCCATGCTGCAAACACAAACAGCCAGCTGTCCGTCTGTCTGTCTGTTTCCTGTCTATCGGGCAAAACGCTGGCGTCCTTCCTCTAGCTCTCAAAAGACACGGCACGGCAGAGGCACACCCGTCCGTCCACCCATCCATCCATCCAGAGGCAGTCAGTCAGTCAGCAACCCATCGACAAAGATGACACCATATGGATGGATGGATGGATGGGTGGACGGATGGATGTACGAAATACATCAGGGAGAGAGGCAGTGTGGGTATGGACGTGAAAGAAGGAATGAATGACTATAAAGGAATCCCCGACACACACACACGTAGGACATGCAGGCAGGCACGCACAAATGGCAGCCAAACAGAAAGAATAGAGGGAGGGAGGGAGGGAGGGAGAGAGGGAGAGGGCCTCAGGCAGGCAGACACGTAGGCAGGAACAAATGGCCGTCGATCAGACCGCCGCCAATCTCTCACCCCTCCCCTCCACTCCCCCACACCCCGCCACACACAGCCAGATGTATGCACGCAGGCAGGAAACAGACGACGGCAAAACAGAAAGAATAGCCGTCAGTAAATCACCACCCCGGAAACGGCAAACAGGCAAAGAGTGAGTCAGTGAGTCAGTGGGAATATCTACTCGTGATATTGATTGATTGTCTCGATAGACGAGCAGTCACTTTGACACGCCCGATAAGACGAACCATAGCACATCACATCACATCACACCACACATGAATGACCGTACCACGCCCAGCACACCAACGCCCACACGCAGCCGGCAAGCCAGCCAGCCACCCAGTCAGTCGGTCGGCCAGTCAATCAGTCGGTGTCGGTCAGGCCCCCGTACTCGCCTGACTCTATCCATTGGCTCACTCATAGACAGATAGACAGACAGATCGACCGGAAAGAAAAGCGGGACGTGTGTGTGCCGTCTGTCCGTCCGTCGAGTCCTTCCGTCGCTGGCCAGCGCGTCAGAAGAGCAGCCAGCTCATACACACACGTATCGATATCGATCATATGTGACGATAGATATGTTATGTACCTCCTTACATATACATGCGCACATAGATGGATGGATGCGGTATGTAGAGAGAGACAGGGAGGGTCAGAACTGTCCCCCAGGCAGGCAGGCAGGCAGACACACTTCGATCAAGAAAGAGGGAAACAGGCAGGCAGGCTAGTGAGATGGATGGATGAATCACGATCACCGGGCAGCGAGGCCATAACATACACACACACAGAGGCAGAAAGGCAGAGTGGCAGGCATGCAGGCACGAAACAGTCAACACGAGACGGCGAGGCAGGCAGGCAGGCAGGCTGGCAGGCCACTCGTGTGTTGGCACTGATCGATGTGTCGTGGGCTGCTGTTCTTGTTCTTGTCATAGGCAGGCAGAGAATCGGCAAGGCAACAGATCACTGGCTCCTCCTTGCTACACCCCATCCCTCTTCATCACTCTCCCCATCTCTCTCTCTCTCTTTCTCTTGCTTGCTTTCTTTCCTTCTGCATGACTGAAGGGTTCCAGCAGAGACGCACAGCACTGCACGGCAGCCAACCTACCAGTTGACCAACGAACGCAGTAAGGCCTCATAGCTTACGCCGCTACTTCCTCCCTCCCTCCCTCCCTCCCTCAACCAACCAACCAACCACTCCCTCCCCAACCCCCAATCAGATACCCCCTCCCCAACATACATAACAAATCACCAGCCAGCCCATGAAACGGCACAACACACCACCCCACACAGACGCACCCATCCAATCCATGCAAGACACATGCAGGCCATCGGTCAGTCGCCGACTGACACAGATCATCACCCACCACCCACAGCGCAGAGAGATAGACCATCAAGATGACAGACCGATCCATGAATGAATGACTGAATGAATGGACGGATGGTCAATCCATCCACTCCCTCACTCTCGCTCGCTCGCTCTCCCGATCGATCCATTCGTCGTGGCTGTCTGTCCAGCAGGTGTCTGTCAGGGCGTCAGTCGGCGGTTGCGATGGCCATACACGTGGGCAGATATATACATGTCAAAGCTATGACATGGGGGCGAACCGGCCCCGCTGCCCTCTCGTGAACCGCGCCCGGTGGGCACGAATGGGCTTGCGGGGACGAAAATCCTACACACACACCACACAACACACAACACACATGGGGTGCGTCCCTTGTCTGTGTCGTATGCGCAGTGTGTGCAGTGTGTGTGTGCAGTGTGTGTGGCGTACCGCCGAAGAACATGTGCTTGAAGCCGATGATTCGTCGCTGGATCGGCCGCAGAGGCTGTCCTCGTCCCTGCAGGGGCTGGACGAGGCCGCCGAGCCGTCGGTGGTGGACAGTGCCGACGGCAGCAGCAGCAGCACCGGCACGGGCACCTCCTCGGGATGCGGCTGACATGACACACCATCACACACACCGTCACACCACACCTTCATCCATCTGTGTCATGTGCTCACCGCCTTCTTGACGTGTGATGAGGACGGACTCACGCCAACGCGACCAGATGACGACGACACGGTACGGCGAAGAGGGGTACTCGACTGACACACACACCACACACGCAGACACAACAGGGGAGGGATTGTGCGAGCGGCAAGCGCGTGTGTGGGGTCTGTGGTGGCGTACCATATGTCCGTGTGTCCGTTTCGGTGTTAGGTCCGGTGATGAAGATGACACAGGCGGACACAACGATAGCTTGGACATCAAACTGACAAGAGACACACCACACACACAGAGGAAGAAGCACACAGCGCACATTGGGCAAGGGAGACATGACCTTGCAGGGCCCGTTCCGGCCTCTCTCTTCTCTGTTGCCCCATCCCTCCCTCCCGCGTACCTCCTGAAGTGCCTGTCAGGGCACTGAGTGGATGACCGGTGGAAGGTCTCCATAGCGATGATAGGGCTGATGATGCACTACTGGTCTTCCCCGCGAAGACTCCCGCGCGCACCACTGATGGTGATGATGCGACACACAACACGACCGCACGCACCGCAATCCGATGGCCGGGCCGTGGAAACCGACAGTCTCGAATACGGCTGTCTTGGCTTGGCTTGGTCCTGTCTTGACTCTTGCTGACGGACGCCGCCCCGCTCGTGGCAGTCGACGGCAGCTGTTACCGATCGCCTCTTGGTGGTCCGCTGTATCTTGTTATCAGGGGGGTGCTAAAGGCCTTGTCGTACCCGCGCCTCAAGAAAAGGGCAGAACACGTACAGACCCAGACCAGTCCCTCCCAGGAACACTCCAGTAGACACACACTCACAAAGAGCGATGCACAGGCATCCACCGCGCGCAAAAGCGCCAAAGAGGCGAAATAGCAGAGACCGCTCTGCCTTCAGTTACACAGGTCCCTAAGCTGCCATTCAAAGCTCGCAGTGCGAAGACAACATCCACGAAAATGAGGTGGGCATGGCCAGCACACACATGCAGTGAGGAAGGGGGGGAAGGGGGCAGATCTCCACTCACGCGGCCGAGAAAGGACTTCTCGAGGCTCCGCCGTGTGCCGAAGGACAGAGGCAGTCAGAGGAGAGAGGATAGCTACCTGGGGAGAGCAGGAGTGGCCGCGTATTCACCCCCTGTCCCTCTGCCTTCGTTTGTCCGTCTGTCCGGCTGTGTGTGTGTGTGTGTGTGTGCAGTAAGCTGAGCACCGACTCGCTGAAGAAGGCTATCACGGAGATCAAGGCTGGCTCGGAGGAGAAGAAGCGCAAGTTCGTCGAGACTGTCGACCTGCAAATCGGACTCAAGGACTATGACACGCAGAGGGACAAACGTTTCGCCGGTAAGTTCGGTGGAGGGCGAGAAGAAAAGGGAAGATCTGCCGTGTGTGAGTCTCCTGTGTGTGTGTGTGTGTGTAGGCACTGTGAAGCTGCCGCATGTGCCCCGTCCGCGGATGAAGGTGTGCATCCTGGGCGACGCTGTGCACTGCGAGCAGGCGGGCAAGGCGGGCGTCGACTTCATGGACGTCGAGGCACTCAAGAAACTCAACAAGAACAAGAAACTCGTCAAGAAACTCGGTGAGTGACCGTTGTGGGGTGGGGAGTCCAGACACAGTAACAGCTGCAGACAGATATCATGTTGCCGTGTTGTCCTCTCCCTCTCTCACTCTCTCTGTGTGTTGTGTGTGTGTGCAGCCCAGAAGTACGACGCTTTCCTGGCCTCTCAGGTGCTGATCCCGCAGATCCCCCGTCTGCTGGGTCCCGGCCTGAACAAGGCGGGCAAGTTCCCTTCGCTCATCACACACAGCGACAAGATCGAGGACAAAATCACCGAAATCAAATGCAACGTCAAGTTCCAGCTGAAGAAGGTCAGTCAGTCAGCCAGCCAGCCAGCCAGCAGGGGGCAGACACCGAGTGGATGGAGTGCTGTGTGTGTGTCTGTGTGTGCAGGTGTTGTGCCTCGGTGTTGCTGTGGGTCATGTCGAGATGTCCGAGGACGAACTGCGACAGAACTGCCTGCTGGCAATCAACTTCCTGGTCAGTCAACGAGCAAGGCTCGGCCGCAAATCGCCGTAGTTAACGGCTTTCCTTTGTTGTGTGTGTGTGTGCAGGTGTCGCTGCTTAAGAAGAACTGGAACAACGTCAAGTCGCTGAACCTCAAGAGCAGCATGGGCAAGGTGCAGAGGATCTACGGATGAGTTGATCGACCTGCTCCCTTCTGCTCCCTCCAGCGATCCAGTCATCGAGCCAGATAGCCTTTTGACGTTCACCAATAGACGCCGTGGCCGGCAACACTCTTTATGCTGCTATGCCGCCGGCCATTGAGTGTTCTATTGGGAGGTGGGACGCTTGCATGTGGTGTGTGTGGTGTGGGGGACGATGTGAGACGGTGTGTGGTGGTGGACGGTGGGAGGCTTTACATACATTCATTCATTCATTCATCCTTGCATACGTAGTCAGGCTTGAGATCTTCATTCCCTTCGGAGGCACCTTGTCTGCAGTGGTCTACCTTCTTGTGACCCTGCTGTCACGGGGGGTCGTGCACTTCTCACACGTCTAAGCTCGCACATCATGTTTCTCTTTGTGTTGCAGCCCACCTCCAAACGCCAAGGTGCGCACACTGCCGAGGGGATCTACTGAATCATTCATCCATCGCTTCCCCTTTCCCGGCTCACGGGTGAGGATTGATGGGTTCCATAATACCAGTCGTCAAGATACCAGTGCCGCACCCGCCCCTTCCGGAAGAGCAGTGGCCGAGTGGCCCTTCCATCCTGGCGGTCAACGATGCGTATGAGCGCTACACGCCCGATTTGGCGCTTGCTCCGTCCTTTGCCCACTACTGGATGGTGGTGGAGTACGTCAACCTAGATGGCACTGTGGACGCTGACGACTTGCCCAAGTTCAGGGAGGCGATGCTCAAGGTGCAGGAGATGGAGAAGGAGGTGCGGTGCGTGCCACAGCCAGGAGACCACCTGACCGACCCTTCCGCGGTGATCTGTCTGTCTGTCTCAAATTGGTCTTGTCTGTAGTATATCCGTGACTGGCTCCGTAGGAGATGGGCCTGGAAGCGCAGAATCGGGCTGATGACCATGGAGCAATGTGACAGGTAGCTAGGTCAGGGCCCTGCAAGGGGAAACACTCATACCTACTTGCTGACTCACTCATTCCCATCCATCCCTGGGCGTGCCTGTCTGTATATTGTAATTCTGCCATGCCTCGCTCAGGGAGATCAACAAGCGGATCGCCGACCTTGAGGCTCGAATGAAGGCACTCAGTGAGGATTTCCGAGAGGAGCATGCCGAGGCGGAAGCTGCGGAAGCTGAGCGCCGGGCCAGCAAGGAAGCTGAGCGCCGGGCCGATGCTGCTACCCCTGCGAGAACACCAAGTGCAGCCTTTTCGGTGACGGATGCTGATGATACACACAGCACCAAACATGCACAGCCGTCTGGATCGGCGAGGAGGATTTCGTCTCAGAGTGCCATGCATGGCGCGTCCCTCGACAACGGTGAGGACAGGATTGATCCGCTGAAGCAGCCGCTGCTACAGGCAGCCACTTGAGGAGGGGCGAAGCTGTACGTTCGGAGGTGGGGTGCATATCTGTCTGTTTGTTTGTGTACTTGCCACCAGTGAGTAAGGTGTGTGCGTATGATGAACTCACGGGACAAGGTTAGGTTGGGTGGTGCGGTTTGTATTTATCAAGACTTTTTAACACATCTGCCCCGTGCATGCCACATCTATTTTGTCCAGAGCTGCACGGGGATGGCGAGGGGGCTTGCAGAATCGACGTGTTCACGCAGCAGCCCGTCCATGAAACATAACGACTCTTGCCCTTGCCAAGTGGAATCGCACTCCCGTACAGCACTCCACTCGCGGGTCTCACGCGATGATGTAAGCCTGAGCGAGACAGATGCTTTCGGTCAGGAGTGTATATTCCGCATGCCAACATTGTCTCTCTGTCTCATTGGATGACCTTCAGCAGGTCCCACGCACATCATTAAGGGGAGGGGCAGCTGGCTGTCTGGCTGGTTTGCTATCAACACACCCTCACACAATGACTGACACACGAGCTATATGCCGTCGGCCGGCCCATGTGTGAACGATGCCGGCTGGATGGGCCGGAACATCCGCTTCTTGGCCAAAGCCTGCACACCAAACCACAGCACAACGCGCAACACAACACACACATGCATTTGCGCGCGAGACCACTTCGTGTGTTGGTAATGAGGTTGGTTGCCTGTTCTAGGTAGGCCTTCCGCTCATCGTCCGTCTGCAGCTCGTTCCACTGACCACCAGACAGACAGACAGACAGACAAGACATCTGTGTGTGTATGTGTGTCTGTCGCCCCGCTGGCTGGTAGAGCTGACCTCAGCGAGGTAGAGTGCGGCGACATTGTAGCCCCATATGCCGTGGAGGTGCTTCACCTTCAACAGACTGTTGCCAACAACTACCTTGGTCCTGATAGGTCCATATGACGATCGACACACACACACACACACACATATATACACACAAGCCGATCGGTTTCTCCGTCTCCGCTCCCTCACTCACCCATTGCACCGGTTCGGCGATGTGCCAGCCTCTGCACACACACACACACACACGCACAGAGAGAGAGAGAGACAGGCACACCGGGATGATTGCTGGCTGGCTTGGTGCGTTCTTCTGCTAACCTGGTGCGGCCGCCCCTCCGCCAGCGACGGGCACGTACCACCTGCAGACAACCACAACGAACGAACGAACAGACGGCCATACAGCGGACGGGCGTATCCATGGTCTTGTCTCTCTGTCCCTGACTGACTGACCTGAGGTGGTCCCGGGGCGGTATGACGAGCAGCGCTTCGCGAGCTTCTGATGTATCTGTCGGCACACACACACACACATCCACAGGACAGGTGCTCTCCGCAGTCCTCCCTCCCTACATCCCCGTGTGTGTGTGGCTGACCGTTTTCCCTGCCGGGTGGTTTGGGTTTGACGAAGTCGATGCCGTAGACCTCCGTCACCTCGTGACGCCACTCGTGGTAGTCGCCTGGCAACATAGCCATCACACGCTGACACACAAAACAACCACACCACAGAGCGAGCCACACAACGATGAGATGACATCCCTGTCAGCCCCTGTCGGCCACTGTCTGTCTGTGTGCCTGCCTGCTGCATGCCGGTTGGTTCGGCTTAGCTAGCTTACCTCGATGGTTTGGTACCACTCCTGCGTGGCGTTGAACTTGAGCTGCTCCTCCTGCTCCCTGAACCAGACGTCGAATGGCACCTGCTGCATGAAGTCCCTGTACTGCTCCTCGCCCAGCATGGCCCTCAGGCTGGGGGGCCCGTCGTAGGACGTGCAGATGTACACTTGAGACAGCCGGGACATGTCGCGGTCGCTCAGCAGATCTGGTGGACACGTTGAGTGTGTGTGATGGATGTGTGTGGGGCGCATGACATGAGTGTGTTGCTCGCTGCCTTCTTCCTCTGTGTGTGTGTGTGTGTGTCTGTGTGTGTGTGTACTCTTGTTGTCTTGGTAGTCGTCTTTCAGCTTAATGAAGGCGTCCTTGAACCTGCACACAACACAGCACAACACACCAGGCACACCAGACACACGTGCGATGCCGTGGACAGACAGACAGACAGACAGGGAGACAGGGGGTCTGTGTGTTGGTCTATTTGTTTGTGTCGTCCTACGGAGGCTCGAATCGGTGGAATCTGGCGAGCGCATTGAGCAGAGCGACTCTGTGTGGGTAGCTAAGTGCGGAGGCCATGAGGGCGTCCGCACACAGACGGGTGAACTCACGAGTGTTGAAACCCAGCTGCACACCACACATCACACACCACACACAACAAACACATGTCGTGTGTGGTGAATCCATCCATCCCTTTGTGTGTGTGTGTGTCTGTTTTGTGGGAAGGCCACCGCGGCGAGCTGCAGAGCGATTTGGCTGAGTTTGTCGAGGCCGTCGTTGTCGAAGGGCTCCGGCAAAATGTTGGTCAGGGAGTGGACGTACCTTCAGACAGACAGGGAGGGCGTTATCAGAGAGAGGTGTGTGTGTGTGTGGTGACTGACCATGAGACCAGTCTGTTGAGCAGAGGAGCGTCGTGGACTCTCAGCTCTACAAAACTGCCGAACAGCGCCGTCAAGTCGCCCCTGCACACACAGCCATCATAGCAAGGCATTCAGACATACCCTGGACCTACTTGGAGAACAGGTGCAGAGGGCAGCTCATCGTCTGCTCCAGAAAACCCTGCAGACACAGACATACACACAGACGGATGTCTGTCTGTCTGTCTGTGTTGCCCCGGCCGCACACACACACATTACCTGTATGACGCCCTCTTCGTATAAGTGTAGTCGGCCGAGTGCCTCGAATGTGGCCACGAGCTGCCTGAAGGAGAGGCCCCCAACACTCTGGTTCCGCAGCCCCTCCAGCAGCGCCTCACGCAGCAGACCCCGGGGCGTGTACGGGTGACTGACGGACGTCATCCATCCATCCATCCATTCAGCATCACACAAACACAGGAGCATTTGTCGAATGTGTGAGTCGGTCTGTGTGTGTGCTGTGCTTGTCGTCGGCTCACGGTTTGGCCTCTGCCTTCATGACGATGGCCTCCCGGTGAGCGACCACCTGCAATATACAAAGTCAGCCGTGAGTATCTATGCACGGCACGCTCATTTGTGTGTGTGTGGCGGTGCGCACTCACCGAGAGGAAGTCGACGAAGGCGTGTGTGGGGAAGGCCGACAGCCGCGGGACCGCCAAACGCAGCGCCAGCATGTAGGCTGACACAGGCTGCATTGCACACATAAGTGGAGGGATGGATGGATGGGTGACACAAGGTCTTCATGAGCAAGAGAGAGGGGCGGCCACCTGACCTTGTTAGGGATGTTCTGCACGGCCTTGAGGAACTGCGTGAGCTCTTCGGCGGTCAGCGCCTCACGCTCTTTAGACGGACAGGCACCGATGCACTGCACACACACACAGACACAGACACACAGACACCAAGATGCATGACTGACACGAACACACATCCTCAGTGCACCTGCCCTGCGTGTCCTCTCTCACCTCGACGATCCTCTTGACGAGGTCCTCAGAGTGCAGCATCGACCGAAACCTACACTCGCACACCACACCACACCGCACCAGCACAGAGCACGTCAAAGGCACCCATCCAGCCAGCCATATGGACGCACCTACCTGTTAGATCGGTTCTTGGCGCACAGTTTGTCGACCAGCCAGAGCAGCATGCGGACGCTGTACGGTGACGGGGGCGTCAGCGACTCGTGCAAAGCCGCGTGGACCCGGTCCAGCAGCGACGTCTTCATCTGCTGCACAGGGGCCGTGTCGCCCTCCAAGTCACCCGATAGGGCTGTCGTTGCTGTCGTTGACGATGGTCCGTGGTTGCCCTTGATGAGCGCCGGGTCCATTGCGCCGAGGAAACGGACCAATGCGGCTTCCTGATTGATGCACACACACGCAAACAGTGAGTGACATACACACCTGTCCTGTGGCCAGGGTGGTCGGCCTTCGGAGGCACTCACCTTGAGAGGCAGGGTTTGGGTGTCGCTTCTCTCCGCCAGCTGCGTCTCAATGTGCTGCTGCAGCACCGAAAACACATGTGGGTGACGCGCACCAACTGAAGACACACACGCACACAGAGTCACAGTCGCAACGCACAGAGAAATCTCACAAAACCGGAGTCTCTGTCGGCCTGGCTAATCTCACTTTCATAAAGCCCCGCAAGGAGGGAGCAGACATCGTGCAGCGGCATCAGCCGGAGGTCGGCCCGCAGCGCTTCCATCTCCCGCTCGCCCATCTCCCTCTCCGCATCGCCAAACATCCGCCCGCCCGTCGTGTAGATGACCTCCAAAGGCGAGTGGTCAAACCCAGCCCACCGAGCTGACGAGGGAATCAAGGCAGCGGCGGATGACGAAGGCGCATCGGTGTGCGTCTGGGGCGGTCTGGCGGCCGCTGGGTGGATGCCAGGGTGGATAGCGGTCTCCTCTTCGATGAGGGGGGACAGCTGCAGGCAGGCACAGAGATGGCTAAATGGGTGTGTGTAGTGTTGTATAGTGTGGTGCGGTCACTGACTGACTGACTGACTGACCTCTTTGGCGATTTTTTCCCACTGCCGCATGTTGAGTTCTCCCGCTCTCCTGTCCAGTGCCCCCAGCAGCTCGCGAAGCAGCTGGGACGACCGCGTCAGCTCGAATGGGGTCGTGCGGCGACGTGACGTCGGTGCTGACATTTACACAAACACACACACACACACACATAAAGAGGACTTGACCGCCTTTGCCATGGACGGATGGATGGATGGATGGATGGGCGCATACAAGTTCTGGTGGTTTCTTCCCCCTCAGCAGCAGCCTGTTCGTCGTCTTGTCGGCGCATGAAGGCAGCAGCAGAAGTGGCGGCGGCCGCCGATGACGAGTGCGGCACACTCTCCCGCACCAGCTGGTGCAGGTAGGTCAGACACACCTGACGGACACACACAAGACACACCAATGGATGGCATTCATCCCCGCATAAGACGGACGCCCTAGGTGTCGGTTTGTGTCTTGCCCTAGCGAAGTCCTCCGTGCTCATGGTGTCGATGAGGGAAAGCGCCCTGGGCCACAGTTTGGCCAGCAGCTGGGAGGGTGCGTCGCGCAGAAACTGCTCGTCCTTCGGCATCGACTGCAGCTGCAGATTAGAGGGACAGAGAGGGGCAGGGATGGGACACGTATGTGTGTGTAGAGGGCATGTGTGTGGCTCTCTCCCGTCTGCTTCCTTGCCTGAAGTGTCCTGATGCCGTCCATCATGGCCATGAGGCTGTGTGTCTGGAGGGACGAGAGGGAGCGGTTGATGCGGGACCACAGCATGCGCATCAGCACACCGCTCAACGCCTGTTGGTTGGTGCAGACACACACAGATGACATGGGCACACACGAGCCATCGGGCTGGCTGTGCTCGTGTGCCATGCATCTGACCACATTTGCGGGATCGTAGACCTTGGCAAAGACGTCACACATGACGGCGACGTCCATTTGGGGACGCTCGAGCAACACTCTGTCCAACAGACAGACACAGGAGGCACATCAGGATCGTTACCGTCTCCATCTCGATCTCCCTCTCTCCCTCTGTTTGTTTGGCTCACTTGAGGTCCGATCTCCACTTGGGGTTCTCCTTGGTCAATGCATCCACACCCAATGCCAGCGGCAAATCGCGAACCACACTGGGACGCGATGACGCGCCAGACAGCAGAGAATGGAGCTGCACCCACACACACACACACACACACGCACACACACACGTGTGTGTCTGCCTCGTCTAAGTGGCGAGTGGTTGCTTCGTTTACATACGTACCGTCTTGATGGCTCTTTGTCTGATTCGGTCTCTCCCTTCCGCCTTGGTCAGCCACTCGGCCGCCTCATAGATGCTGACACACTCGGCCACCGACCTGCCCTCGCGACCCTCACACACCGCCTGCACCCAGTTGGCGATCTAAAGAACCCATAGATAGATACAAACACACCCGTTGATACATCGGCGGCCGATGCGATGATGAATCTGTCTGCAGGATACGGCCGCACCTCGTTAGATCGGTAGTCGCCCCACTTCCCGTGACGGCTCTTCCTCAACTGAGCCAGCAGCGACAAACCTGACACACAGATGAACCTCTCGATGCGAATCGCTCGGCTCACTCTCCACCCACACACCCACCCTGCATCTGCTCATTTGCCGTCAGGTCCGTCGCCTTCGTCTTGTCGATCAGGTGCAGCAGCAGCGACGGCAGCGGGGCCGTCAGGGGCAGCCGCAGCAGAGCCTTCATGCAGGAGAAGTTGACCTCCACCGGCAGCGACCCCACCTGCGACTTGTAGGCGGCCTCCCTCCCAGGCTCAGCCAGCATCTGCGGCAGCCTCACCAGCGCCAAGTGGTCGATATGCGACGGGCAGTTGGCCGACGCGATGGCGTCAACCATCATGCACAGGGCCGGCAGGGAAGACGCGCACTCATCCGTCACAAACACCCGACCGATATCGTCGTCCACAGAGGAGTGATAGGCGAAGTAGTCGAGAGGTGATCCATTGAGGCGGTGTGTGTGTGGTGCTGAGAGGGGGTGGGAGGGCTGGGGAGGGCCAGAGGAGGGCAGGGAATGACTGGATCTGGCATCTGGGGCTGCAGCTGCCGCTGCTGCTGCTGAATTGGCTGCCTGAGCCAGAGATCTCCATTGCTGCCTTGACGACCTTGGGAAGCACACAAAGGAGGCCCTGATGCGCAGAGAGCGCGATGAATGCCGCATCGAACTGCTATTGCGAGCTTAGCGAGGAGGATCGTCATCCGGGAGATTTTCGCTACTCCCTTGCTCCCACACGATGTCGAGACCCATCGACGAAGGTGATGAAGCCCCGGCAGCCGCTCGTTTCGCTGGCATGTTCATCGGCAATGAGTCAAGAACCGCCACAAGCACGGCAAGCGCCGCGGACGGCCGACTTCCCTTCAACTCCAGTGAGATGGCCGGCTACAAGGTGCGAATGGACGCCTCAACATCAGATCCAGCACGTGTGCGGCAAAAGAAGGCGCCAGAGCCCGGCCAGTGCGGTCGGTGTGTGCCTGAGGTCAGCCCACGTTACTGCAGCGACGAGTGTCTGAAGCAGCACGTCCAGCGGGGGCAGCACACCAAGGCCATGTGTGAGCGCGGCAGGCGGCTCTACGTTAACACATTGTCTCTGCGCGGGAATCGTTATGCCGTCAAGTAAGACACGCACTTATGACCATCATTGCTGGCGATGGCCCGCCATGGTGAGTGGCAATCACTGTGATGTCTTTAGGTACCTCCAGTGCGCTGTCATGCAGTCAAATATCTGTTGGGCTGGATGACTGAGGAGAGCTTCTTCAAGCAGCAGCGGCTGATGCAGCGGGCGATTCTGGCTGAGATCGAGGGCTATGGGCCAGGGACGCTGCTTTCCGCGTACGTGGTGAAGATGGCGACATTCGGAACCGACCGCGTCTATTGCCTCGTCAGTCTGTTCAGCACCTCACGCCCCTCAGCGGCAGGGCACGGGGAGCGCGATCCCCCTGCCGGCACTGGTGGCTTCGTCACCTATCCCAGCTACCAACTCGTGCCTTTCACCACACACGGCAACCAGACAGCCTCGCCAGATGGCCGCTCGGATAGGGCCGCCGCCATCCTCTCCAAGATCATCTCGACCCTCCTCGTCATGAGCACTCGCTCGACTGGGCCATCAGAGGCGACGTTGAACACGTGTTCTGGCGCAAGAGAGTCTGCAGGGTGCCCCATCCCTTGCTCAGCACAGGCGGCTTCTACTGCATCCCCACGCCACTTATGGTGGTGCTAGGTGCCATGGAGGCGGCGGCCGAAAAACTATTCGGCTATGCTCGAGGTGAGGAGCTTGGCACGGCGATCGACGAATCTCTGGCGAGGAAGATTCAGATCCGTCTCGTGCAGTCGGTCTCGGGCATGCGGCAGATGCTGTCCCGCGACGAGTGGCGCAAGGAGATCGAATGGGAGGTCAAGGCGATAGAGGGCGTCAGCGCGATGATCGAGCGCATGTGTCACGAGACTGCCTTACAGGTGCGTGAGAAGGTGGAGAGGAGGGGCTCGCTTCACATTATCCCCGTGCTGCCGTGTGTGCAGAGGGGCGTCCGCCGTCGTCAGTTGAGTGGTGCGGTGGCCCAACTCAAGAATGATTTCGTCGAGTCCGCTTTGGCCTTCACAGATGCATCTGGCCTGATAGGACTGTGTCCATGTGATTATGTTGACAAACCAGGCACAATCTGCTCGAGTACACCAGAGGCATGGGCCGCGACACTGCCGGGCAGCGGTCACTCGCAGAGAGGGTCGAGATGACGGAGCAGGAGATGCGGTGTGTCGAGGCAGAGGTGGCGGCTGCGGAGTATCCCGACTATGCCAAAAGCCTGATTGCCGCCACGCCGCTCTGCGAACCCCAGACGGATGGCTGACGGGCGGCAGGTGTGTGAGGTCGACGTCCTGTTCAGCACACAGGGGCTCATTTAGTGGAGGAGACTGGGATGTCTGCAGGCAGCATGACATGTAGACGGACGGATGTGGGGCTTGCGTGGTTTACCGTTTTTGCTCTGCCTGTGAATCAGTTCAGTCTCGTGTTTTTGATTCGTACATGCGTGCGAGTGCGTTCCTTTACTGGTGAAGTTCGTGTCGACATGAATGCGTCCGTGGCTAGCCAGCCGAACGATTCGGTGCCGGCAGGCAGGAATTCAGACGGGCCGAGAGGAAGAAAACGGCCAATTGCAATGGCATGCAGTTGAGGTGATGCCTGGTGTGCCTTCTGAGACCTCATCCAGCAGAGACGTTTATGTGTCAAAATGACTCTACAGCATGCCATGCCATCAATGACTGTCCAGTCACCGAGAGAGAGAGCCCGTCACCATACTTAGACAAACGCCGCCAAAAAAGCGACTCGACCTAAATGCGCCAATCTGTCCATCGATCCATCCGTCAGTCGTCCTGATCAGGAAGCTGCCCGCAGTCCTGGATGATGACCGGCACGATGAGAGGCTGCAGCTCAATCTGCGGCCCATACGCCAGGTCGCCGAGGGTGAACTGCGTGGGTGCGGGCTGAGGTTGTCGGAAGTCGGTCATGAGCGAGACGGCCTGCAGGAAGCTGACGTCCTTCAGGTCGGGGATGAACCCAACCGCAGTCTCACAATGCTGCGCTGAGTTGGCCGACGCCACCGTTATCATGAAACGGCCGCCTGTTTGTTGACAGACAAGCAGACAGACAGGAAGGAAACCACACACACAACTCATCGATTGCAAGTCGCTGGCTGAAACACGTGGATATGATGCGGCCGCCCGCCGACCCGACGGACCATACCGTGCTCTCTGTAGTTCTGGATGCCTCTTTTCTGGCTGGCGGCTTCGTCCATGAGCAGCACCATGCCCGCCCGTCTGGCGGCGATGAGGGAGCGATTGTGGTCCCACTTGCTGTGGTTGGCGCCGTAGGTGCTCTCGGTCATCGATGTCAAGCTGTCGCCGTCGGGCAGGTAGCCGCCGATCAAGTCGCAGCCTTTGACGGCGTAAGGTATGGCGCTGCCTGCATGGACGGATGGCATCAATCAGACAAAAGGAATTTTTAAAGCGTCCATGGCTGCCTGCACACACCGTCTCCCCTCTGGTGTGTGGTGTAGTGTGGTGTGGTGTGGTGTACCTCTGTAGCGGAGCGGGTATCCTGAGGTGCCGTTGCCCTTCTCGCCCGTGCAGAAGCACCTGACACATGAACGAATCAAGCCAGCAATCGTTGTTGGCTGCATTTGGCTCACTCGTTGATTTCACCTGAAGTTCTCGGCCGCCTTGGGGTTGACGTCGGGGAAGAGATCGATGACGATGCGCTTCGACCTGCTGCTTGTGTGAACCTTAAGGTCAAAGAACACCTTCGGCCGCTGACACAACCAACAGGATGAACGAGACAAATGGGAAGACGGTTCCCCTCCCTCCCTCCCTCCCTCCCTCCGTGTGTGTATGTGTCGGGCTGTGCAGTTCTCTTGCCTTTGGTTTGGGGCTGTTGGCGACCTTTTGCGCGCACAGGAAGCCCTCCGTCATGTTTGATAAAAATTTGGCGCACTCTGCCTTCACCTGATCGAACAGACATGCGCACACGCTGGCTGCCGATGGGCGTCACTCTCCCATTCGGCTCACCTGTTTGTCCGGGCTCGGCTTAACTTTGAAGCAAATGGTCCTCCAGAGGTCAGTGGTCTCCTGACGCCACACGACACACGCAGACAGAGATCAAAGGCCACTTGTGTGCGTGCAGGTTTGCAGGCTGACCTTGAGCAGCTTGGCCCAATGGGTGTAGTCGACGTGCATCGTCAAGTGCATGTCGAGCTGATACACCGTGGCCAAGAGATTGGCAGTGTCCTGCAAAGCCGCACACCACAAACACACACACATACCAGACATCAATCGCCCCGCCAGTCTGCCGGCATAGTTATGCAGCCCACATTGATGGCGAGTGCGTTCTTGATGGATCTCTCGAAGTCCCTCAGCCGCTTGACAGTCTCGGTGAGGTCGTTGGCCTGCCGCCTCTCTTCAGCCAGCCTATCGAGCACCGCCTCCTCCTTCTCCCTGGCAGTCTCTGGGTCGTCGACAGACGGCAGACGCGCATCAGCTGACGGGACAGAAGCCAACAGATGCCCTTGTTGTGTGCATGTGTGTGTGTATGGTGTAGGCACCCAATGGACGGCCGGTGAGGGTGTTGAGAAGCTGGTCGATGGGCTTGGGCTCGGCCGTCTTGAAGCTGTCGACCACCCGCATGAACTCAGCCACGGCGTCCCTCTCCAGTCGGCCCAGCTGCTGCTTCACCAGCACACCCTTGTCGATGGCCTTGCCCCTGCTCTGCACAACACATGTGACCCATCAGCAATGCCCTTGCCGTGCTCCTCTACTCGATGCATGGCTGACCTTGAGTTTGGCCATGTCCTGGTCGGCCTTCGCGTCAAGGGCTGTCGCGAGGACGGATTGCCGTGCCCACAGAGCCTGCCGCACCCACTCGCCAACCCATTTCTCGTCCACCGAGGGTACCAGGTGGCTGCCCGTCGCGTGGCGCACAAACCGGGACCACCGGGTGCGCTCGAGTGGCGAAGCGGCGAGACTCGAAAAGTCCAGAAGGTGGTCTCGCAGCACGGCCAGCGGCATCCCGCTGAATGTCTTGGTCATAGCGGTTTCCAGAGCCGAGATGAGCGCACAAAAAACCGTGGGAATGACGAGGACGCCTTCATCGAGCAGGTAGAGGTGCGGGCTCCCAGAGCCGGTTATGTATCCGAATGTGACGAACCGCACAGTGGAGATGCCCTCCCGCTGCAGATCACGGATGGCGGCACTGGCGGCAGAGAAGCTGCGCGTCACATCCTCGGTGGACGGGCAGGGCGACATAGCCAAGGGCAGGAACCGAAGGGCCGAACACTCCGAAGCGCCAGATTCACCACCAAACGTCGCATCGACCACACAGACATCAGCGCCAAAACCGAGGAACAATGGGTCCAGGTAGAGATGCAGATCCATCTCGCCTGGCTGAGGTCCACCGACCTCGCCAGTCGTAGCCACACGTCTAC